ACCGTGAGATTCGTTGATATGTATTTTTTGACAGTTTTTGGGGATTTTAGCGTGAAAAACATTATGAATTATTAATAACTGTTTTAACAGTAATCACGAGATCACTTTACTTCATGTTAAAATTTCAAATCTTCATTTTACTTATAATAAGTTTAAGTTGTGACAGCTTTAAATTGTTCACCCTTATCCAAAAAACTTTTTTGCAGGAATTTCATAATTAACTTTTTTTTATGTGGATATTTTATATCGAATAACAATGAATGCAGGGAAATGTAGATGAATAGCAAGATTTCTTAACAATACAATTAAAATTTTCGATAATCTACTAAACTATAACCTAAACTTCTTAGTAGCATGTGTAATGAAGTAAAGCTTAGCATAACACACTAAATGAAAATTTTGTCATTAGATTCATATTCTTTCCTTTTACAGCGCAATTGAATCCATATCAAGCCTATGCTAACGTAAGTAATTATTTAGAATTATATTTTCTAAAAACCTTTAAAAAATTTACTTACATTAAACCTACAACTTCTAACTAATTTGAATGAATTTTTTCAGAAATTTATGTTTGACAATTCCATGAAGCTCGATTTAAACAATGAAAATCATATTTATCCAAGACATCAACCGACAAAACCAATTGAAGCTTGATACCTCTATTAAATATGTATTAATGTACAATAACATTGGCTANAAAGGATAACGAAAATGAAGAAGAAAATGATGAAGAAAAGGATGAAGAGGAGGATGAAGATATGGCGGAATCAGTCGAAGTTGTACCAAAAACTGTTATAACAGACGATGATGGAATATTTACTGTAAGATAAAAGTTGCTATATTTTTATTTAAAAAATAAATAAGTACCCATTTTTCTGAATTACTCTTGTTTTTTAGAAGGAACTTAGGGGATTCTATTAAAATAACAAATGATGGGGTAAAGTGTGTCGCGGTATTGTTGAAACTATTGACTGTTCATTTTTGTAAGTAAAACGTTGATAATTTTATTCCAAAACTAGTGACACGGAGAAAAAATAACCCCCTACACAAACGAAGTGACACCTCGGGTTTTATCAAATTTCAAAAACTTTTAAAAAATATGAGAAGATATATAAAATTGAATCTATTCATAATTTTCAAGTCTTGATTAGATAATTTTTCCAAGACTGTATATGATATCCCGGAAAATTATTCTTGACCCCTCACGACGTTAATACATTCGATTCTATCACGTTATACATTTTTAACTTGTAATATGATGCATAATTAAATTTTTAGCTGTCTCATGTACGAATTCCGCTTTAGCGTGCATGAATGGAATATTTATTTTATTTCCTGATTAGTAAGCTACACAAGCTCCTTCTCCCTTTTGCATGAAATCAGTAACGCACGAATGTCCTTACGAGTAATGAATCGATTTTCGTGCATATCAGTTATTGTTTGTTTTTTTTTTTTTTTTCGTTTTGTTTTAACGACTATTTACTTTGAGTCTCCAGCACCTAAAAGCGCTTTGGTAGCTTTTATGACATTCAATATTGGAAACTTCATAAAATACAAAGTTGATACGATTTTTAATCAAGAAATCTTTCGATACAAACACAATTATGTAGCTGTGTTTGCATTTGTTTTTTCCCCCTCTACATAAACAAAAAACAAAAATACTTAAATAAAAAATTCTCACAGCAAAAAAAGTAAAAGTGAGGTTTTGTTTATTAAATAAATAACATAATGATGATTACGGAGAAAAAATATCAATATTCCAAACAAACGGACATTACATTTATATTATACGTGTAACACAGTTTTTTTAAAATTACAATTTCATTAAGGGAAATATATTCATGGAAGAAAGATAATTTAAAACAGAAAAAATTAAGGTGATCTAAAACGATAAAATGGGAAGTTATGAAAAAGAAATTCTAGCTCTGCGTTACATGATGTACAATATAAAAAAAATAGAGAAGCAGAAAAATCTTTGATACGCCGACGAAAGTTTACATTCTGTCCGAAAAGCAGTGCAAAGAAAAAAAAAGTTCAGTCAACAATGAGGTAAGAAAAGGCGTCAGGAGGGTTTAGTTTTCTTACCAACGAAAAATTGAAAAAATGTTACACAAAAGTTCGAAGAGCCACAATATTGTTACGATTTTCTTGCAACAAAACGATTATTCTGCTCTTTCTCTTCAAATACGAGCTTCAATTGGTAACCTTAATCAACGCATAGCTATTACAAATAAAAATGAATCGGGATGTACGAGTATAGGTATAATCTTGTAAGGACCATATTTAGTTTTATGAGCTTTAATTATACCGAAAAATATATTTAGCTCAATCCACAGTATAGGTGTCCCTAACTACATGTCACATGGTGATCACACAAAAAACCGCAGGTTTTGCAGATGCAGCAACCACACAGAGATTCGCCGACTCGGTAAGTATCACGTCTCTGCGGACACATTTGGCCGCTCTCCCGAGCATCTTCGCTCCTTGCTTTCTATATACGTAACAGTCAGTAGAACTTCGATCTGTCCCGGACCCTATTTCGGAACTATAGCGTGAGGTACTGTCACAGGATCTTGGACACCCGATCAAAGTTCCACTGAGTGCACATGTGCACTGTATCTATATGAATCAGGGACCGAGAGAATAGCTTTTCTCTGCCTTCTATAGGGACAAATTTATATTCTTCCGGATGTACCTACACGCGTTTCTACATATTATCTCAACGTGAGTTTGATATTACTTATAGTATCCTCATTGCGGTGGCGACATTTCGATTCTACGGTACACTACTTTGACGTATTCTTTAAGTACGAAAGTAGATAATAACAATTATGTATCCTAACTATACTTTTCAAGATAATCAAGTATCATTAAGTTTACGATTTTAATATACGCTTAAATGGAATATTTCAATTACCATGAAAATTGTTCAATAAATCAAGGAAATTTATAGCGATACATGAGTGTAAACTCGTGGAAAACAACGTATATATGGAAAAAAAAAAAAAAAAAGGTTTAAATACCTCGTCAATCGTCATCTCTTCATCTCCAATATCCATTACTTGTATTGCAAATACAGAACGCACTTCAGCTCGGTTAGCTGGTACCTACAGTAATGCACGACAGAAGCGCAAAACGAGAAGGAGAAGACGATGATTGTATCGGAAGGCAAATAGCGCCATGAAGTTTGAAACTTCGACATCATACAGGTCTGTATATGCATATATTATTATGTACGTATATTATACATATATAGAGAGAAAGTAGGCGAGGAAGTCGAAAATTTAATTAACTATGCTTCTCACGATGGAAATCGAACTTAAATGCCGATGTTCGTGCATGTACACGTATAAAGGTGTTCAAGGCATAAAATACAATGAATATGAATGAAAAAATAAAAAAGATATGATGAGTGAAGCAACAAAATAACAAATTTTAATCTTTTTTTTTTTCGAGCATTTACAAGGCACATCAGCGCAAAACATGTAAAACTACACAAACGAACTTCGGCGATCCGGTCGAATCCGATCGTGTCCTGAAAAAAAAAAAAAAAAAATTGTACGAATGAGAAAAAAATAGTGGAGTGTTTTGACGAGAAAATTTAACACAGACAGGTAAAGATTTCCATATTTTTTTTTATTCTTGTACATAATTATAATGTATAATGCAAGCAGTATGGGAGGTGAGAAATACAAAAAAAAAAGTTGTTCAAATTTTAAAAAAGTATAGAAGGGAAGACCGAATAGAAAAAAAATAGAATAGAGGGAGAGAGAGAGAGAGAGAGACAGGAGTCGAGATAACTGCACAAGAATAGGAGATTCGATTGCACGTCACGAGCAGGCCTTCGAAGCCTATTCCGTCTCGCGATCGGTTTTTTATTACCGGAAGCTTCTCTTTTTGTTCCTTCCCTCTCTCGAGCCGCAATTATTTCTTTTTTTTTTTCCATCGTTTTTTACTCTGCAAAAAGTTGATGCTTGTACTTGCCCATCTCGTCTTTATTTCCTTGACACTTTGTCGTCACGATAATTAATTTAAAGTTATAAGGGATCATCTGAAAGATCCGCTGTACTTTTAACTTAATTGATACCAATTGGGGTAATTTAATGTAAAAGCGTACGAAATAAAAATTTTTGTTGTGGCAATCCACAGTCAGCTTATCTTTTTCGGAGAAGAGGAGGAATAATTTTTCATGAAAATTTTAATTTAAACATTGAGAGTAACTATTCAATGTGCTGTTTTGCATAGCGACTTCCACAACGAGGTTTCATAGACATATATAATTTATCAATGATAAAATAGTATGCGAAAATTAAAAATTTTTAATGCAATTTTGTAGAAATAATTTTTTTTCATCTATAACAAAAAATTTGCGCTACTGATAACTATCGAATAAATACCTTGTTCGATAGTGAAAAACATCNAAAAAAAAAAAAAAAAAAAAAAAAAAAAAAAAAAAAAAAAATTGTCGACCTCAGCACAAAAAGACTAATTGATACCCACCTTCGGTAAGTTCTGTAGCAGTAGGTATAAACTTACCGCTGATAGATAAAACAAATGTAAGTATTTGTTATCTTATACCGATATCGTTTTTTGTGTATCATATACCGATACCATAGATCACATAATGGAATAAACATGATAACTAATGAACGTTTTATTATACAATTGGTAGAAAAAAAAAGTAAATTAAAGTTGTTATTCATTGCAAAATCATAACACGAACTTGTATTGTTTATAAAAAAAATAACTTTGTCCGGGCGATAAATTTCGAAGTTTTTACAAGTTAGTAATTAATTAAGCAATTATCTTGTATATTATTAGTTACTACAAAACAATAAGTCATTAATTATTTAACATAAAATAATAAAATTCATATAAAATCTACATCCCTGGAACATTTTTGAAGTTTCGCGCTATGGGTCTTATTGTCTTTATCGAAATCTCGACTGAATATCTCTCTCTCTCTCTCTCTCTCTTTCTTTTGACAAGAGAGACTCCTTTTGTATATAAAGTTATTTGTAAACAAGAGAACAGCTGATCCGCACTTATCATCAGTATAATCATTTCTGATTATTGCGTACGTCGTGTGTGTATATGCAATCAAACTTATAGAGTTGCATCGAGACCCCCTATTTTTTTCAACCATTCGGTAAAAAATCTGTCCCTGTCGACCATTCAATATAATACTTACGCTATAAATAAGACATTGTTTTTATATTGACGTGCAAAAACACGCAATCCATTATGTAGTGACGTAGACGACGACGACTGTTTATCTTCATCGCGCAAACAAGGCGAAATTAGCCTGCAAACTACGAATCTAGTCTTTAAAAATGTCACCCACAGTGAATGGAGAAGGAGACAACGAGGTTGATGTCAAGCAACCGATCAAACGTTTGGAGATTCCTATAGCGAAGTTCAACGACGTGGCCATCCCACATCACCTCGATCTTCTTAAAAGACACAGGAACAACATCAAAAAAGCAAGTATTCCCTTGATTCTTTGGTCATTGAACGACTAATAACAATATCATCCAGGTTTTACCCTGAATTTGTTTACAGTGCCAGAGCATCCGAGACTGGGATCGCATTTACGCAGAGCAATTGAATGCTACTCGAACTGTCAAACAGTTAAAACAGCTGCTTTATGAGATGGATACACTGAGGGCACAAGTGCAGGACAGTGATATCTCTGTCTTTGATAAACTGACTATAAAATCTAGGACGAACACAATGAACGCCATCAAAGAATATTTAGGTAATAAATTTTGTGTGAACTTTGTTTCATTAAAAAAACAATTTGTTCAAATTCACGTAACACTTTTTTCCAACAGATTTTGAACTTAATCTGCCACTCATCCAACATCCTCCGCCCAAAGTGGAAAAACAGTTAGCTGAAAATCCACATGACAACCATTTTCATCAAATACAGGTAGAGCAGGAAGAATTGGAAAGACAGCAGGCCTGTTTGAATACCTGGAACACTTTACATTCTGATTTAGAACAGTTGCAGCAACTTTTTATTGACTTTAACAAAGTTGTGCACGTATGTGGGAATTTTTTTATTCTCAATAACTTAAAAATTATCGAAAAAGTTCAAAATAAAACCGACTCAACTATTAATGTTTTCAGGAACAATCAGAATTAGTGAGTAGGATTGAGGACAATGTGGAGGATGCCCAAGGAAATGTACAAAGTGGACTGAAACATTTGAAAGATGCATCCAAGTATAAAGTCATGACATATCCACTAACTGGTGCTCTGTTAGGTACTTGCCTTGGAGGCCCTATTGGCTTTATAGCAGGTTTAAAAGTAGGAGGCCTTGCAGCCATTGGTGGAGGATTACTTGGTAAACTTAAATTTTATTAAATATTTTTTTACTATTATCATTCAATCACTATAACTATATATCTTTAAGGATTTACTGGGGGTAAAATCTTGAAGCAAAAGTGCTCGACACCAACAGAACTGAAGCAGATTGAACCACCTCCAGAAGCAAGCAGTTCCGAAAAAACTCCCTCAAGAGAAATAGATAAAAAAAATTCATGACAATCAACCAATTCTGAATCTTGTAAAAAGTCTTGCAATATTATTTAATAAGCATATCTAGTACTAGTTTCACTTATATTATATTAACATAATTATTAAGAAACAAGCCTTAAAATAGTATGGACAAGCATCTTGTACAACTGTGATGTTAAACTAAAAATATTTGTAAATATATTTTGCTATTAATAAACGATCAAAACGGTGATTTAAGTTTTTTAATTAATTTAAACTCATCCCGTAGGCAGATTTATTATCGCTAAAGTTCCCTACCTTACCAATCACGTTTATTCGGCTTTACGCTTGTATTACTTTCTAGTTTTATTAGCTTAAAAAATAGCTAAATAGACTTACTTTCTTTTAAAAAGTATGTTTATAAAGAGCAAGTCAAGACAATTAACAATTAATGTGAACGGTAACGGTAGGGAACTTCAACGGTACCCGGATAAATACCTTACAACCTTACCTCTGCCCTTAAATAGACACCTAAATTTACCTGACAATACTTTCATCCGCACGTGATTTTGTCTACTGCTAAGATTTTTTATTTACATTTTGAACCGGTCATCGTGCCGACTGAGGTAAAAAATTGTCTTAGTTGATTTTTAATAAGTAAGAATAATGGGAAGAAAGGACAAGAAGAAGAAAGTCAGTGGTAGTGAGAAAACGCAAAAAAAAACGGAAAAGAAATTGAACGCGAAAATGAAAAAGGAACTCAACGCTATTGGAGAGGTTAGAAGAAGACAAAAAAATAAATATTAATACCAATTAATGCATTTAAACAAAACAATGATTAACACAGGATGACATAGAAAAAGTCGTGGCACAAATCGAGAAGGAAGAAGCACGCAGGCAAAAAGTCGTGGAAGCCGTAGTTGCTCCACCTTCTCGTAGAGTAAACTTCACCCTTACACCACATCCACTAAAAGACGAATTGATCATGTTGGGTGGTGAATTCCACGATGGACAGAAGACAGTTGTGTACGGTGATATGTTCTTCTACAACATCAACAAAAACGAGTGGACTGTTGTTAAAGCACCAGGTGCGCCTCCGCCTAGATGTGGTCACCAGGCTGTTGCTACTCAGTCAAACAAAGGTGAACTTTGGATTTTTGGGGGTGAATTTTCCAGCCCTTCAGAGTCGCAGTTTTATCATTACAGAGATCTCTGGGTGTTCCACATTGGTGACAAAAAGTGGGAGAAAATAACGTGAGTTCTTAAGACTTTTAAAGATAAAAGTACCTGTAGGATGGTTTTAAACGACATTTAGTAGTATTTTTAATTTCCTATTAGAGCCACTGGTGGACCTTCAGCAAGAAGTGGTCACAGAATGATTGCCATTAAAAAAAATCTTTATGTTTTTGGAGGATTCCACGACAATCTGAGAGACTATAAGTACCATAATGATATTTACTGTTTTGAAATGGCAACAAGGACTTGGAGGAAACTTGAAACTTCTGGTACAAAAATTGTGTGTAAAGATTCATTTATTTACTTGCCAAATGTTAAATAAAAATTTGTCTACAGGAAATCCACCTGCACCCAGATCAGGCTGCATAGTTTTACCTACACCAGATAACAAGATACTTGTTTATGGTGGCTACAGCAAAGAAAGAATAAAAAAGGATGTAGATAAGGGACACGTTCACACTGATATGTTTTTGTTAAGTCCAGAGAGTAAGTTATTGATGTTAAAATCTTGCTATTGTAATCGTAAATTGATGCAAATTAGAAAATTTCTGTTTTCACTGTTTTATTTTTAACAGAAAATGATCAGACGGGACTGAAATGGAAATGGACAATTGTAAAACAAAGTGGAATAACTGTGTCGCCAAGGTGCAGTGCATCAGCAATACTTGTCCAACCAGGCACAGCTTATATGTTTGGAGGAGTTTATGACGAAGAAGAAAACGAAGAGGAACTCCAAGGAACTTTTTTCAACGATCTTATAGCTCTAAATTTGAATGATCTCAAATTACAATGGCACACGGTAACATTGAGCGGTAAAAATAATTCGACGACAAAAAGAAGACGACGGAAGGCAAAGGATAACGAAAATGAAGAAGAAAATGATGAAGAAAAGGATGAAGAGGAGGATGAAGATATGGCGGAATCAGTCGAAGTTGTACCAAAAACTGTTATAACAGACGATGATGGAATATTTACTGTAAGATAAAAGTTGCTATATTTTTATTTAAAAAATCNTAGCTAGATCAGTTAGAATTTTTTTTCTGGCTATAAATCTTGGCAATCCCTAAAAGTGAAATATTTCAATATAATTTTTAATACTGAAAATCTTTTTATTACTAGAAAACTCACCTTGTATCTTCCACCTTGATCAGTCAATTTACCATCTTCATTAATACTGTTATAACAGACGATGATGGAATATTTACTGTAAGATAAAAGTTGCTATATTTTTATTTAAAAAATCAAAAAAATGTACGAGATTTATCATTTTAATAGGTAACCATTGGTCCAGCACCAACAGCAAACAAAATCGTTAACAAGGATGGAACAACTGTAAATATATTTATGCCATCACCAAGGATTAATCCTGGCTTGGCTGTAAAACACAATATACTGTATTTGTATGGAGGCATGTACGAAGAAGGAGATAAGCAATATACGTTGAGCGATTTTTACAGCTTAGGTAAAAAATAATTTTATAAATTTTTAAAACAACATTAATCTAATCATTACTACAAGTTGAACATTTTTATAATATTTAATCTTATAAAATACCTTATTTTACAGATTGTAAGAAATTAGATGAATGGGTGAAAATATTACAAGATGATCTATCAACTCAAATCTGGCTGGAATCTAGTAGCTCCGATTCAGAATCCGATGATGATGATGATGACGATGATGACGACGATGAAGGTGGAGATTCTGATAAAATGGATGTAGATGATAAATAAATTTTTTAGAGTATTATTAAAACGTTCATAATTTTATAATAAAAAAAAATTTTTTTTTAATTATTTACAACACGAAATCCTTTAATGTGCAGTGAGTGGTATCCTTTTCAATTCTTCTTCAAGAGTGGAAATCTAGATGCGTAATTACAATACATTAGTCACATAGACAAAAATTATTTTTAAATTATTATATACTACACCATACTTTTTTCTGGAACTTGACTTTCTCGTCATCTGATGTATTTGAATGCTTTTTCACCATTATTTCTAATTTTTTTTTGGCTTTTAATCTTTTGTTTTCAATATTTTTTTTTGCTTGTTCAAGGGAAGCGTCGTCATTAAACACAAGATAAACAGTACAGTTCAGATTGAAACTATCACAAATACTATTATCCAGTCTTTTATAATTTTCTGCATGAATAATCTGTACATTTTGCAGCTTACTAACTGCAGTAATAACATTTATATTATCTAAATATAACTTTAGATCATCTGCGTTATTTACAACAATAATACCTAAAAAAATTTTATTTCTTAAAACTGTAGTAATTAAAAAAATTATTATAGTGATAGTTACCTCCTACATCGTTTTTCTTAGTCACATTACCCAGTAATGTTCTAATAGATAAAATAACTTTAATAACTTCACTCATTTTTTTCTCTAAAGGTATGTTGCGCAATTCTTGTACCTCATGTACAGTAGGATAAGAACTTTCAAGCAGTGAATTGTTAAATTTGAAATTAGACAATTTGTTTGACAACTTTGAATATAAATCGTCACATAGATATGGAGTTATAGGCGCCATTATCCTCAATGAAATTTCTAAAGAGTGTGCTAGAGTATGCCTGTGACTGAGGATAATATTTTGATCTCCAGATTTAAACCCAAGCTTAGTTCCTTCCTTTAATCAAATATTTGTTTGAAATAATTAGAACTTTTCGATCAAAGAACATAAAAATAAAAACGTACAACATAGTAATCACAGAATTCATAGTAAACAAATTGCTTAATAGCTGCAACAGCCTTAGAAAAGTTATGTTCACTGATTTGGCGGTTCACATTTTCCACCATCCAAGCTAATCGACTTCTTATCCACAAATCTATTGGCGTAAAGTAACTAGGAGTTGGCATAGGCTCGTCATCAGTCACTAATAATGCGTATCTACTGGCCTGCAAAATTTTGTTGCCAAAGAATTTATTTTGTTCACACTCGACAATGTCGAAGGATATCGTTCGCTCTGCAAAAACGTGATGTAAAAATCAGATACACAGTCCTAAATGTTAATAACAAAACCTTACCTTTGATGTTATGAGCACATAATGTGAAACGTAAAGCGTCCACTCCGCAGTGCGGTATGCCATTCGAAAACATTTTTGTATTAATGGACAATGTTCTTTTTAATTCTGTTTGATTCAATATACCTGTCTCAAAACTATTTTGTGCTTGCTCATTCAATTTCTGTGAAGGAGTCAATAATTATTCATATAAATTTTTTGCAATTTTTTTTCTTTCCAATTTAAAATTGTACCTCTAAAGTGATTCCATTAATAACATTTTCTGGAAAAATTACATTTCCACGACTTTTAGACATTTTCTTTCCTTGTGCATCACATAAGACTCCATGCAATAAAACTTCCTAAGAAATAAATTTTTATTTTATGTATAAGAAAAGCATTCGTATTGTAAACTCTTACTTTGAAAGGTAGTTCTTTAGTCAGCTCAAGCCCAAGCATAACCATTCTTGCAACCCAGAAGAATAAAATGTCATGACCAGTTTCCATTAAGTTCAATGGATAGTACTTTTTATAATTGAATGCCTGATAAAAATATTCAATTTTAGTGTATAATCATGAGTCACAGTTTTTCTTCATAACAAAAAAATTACTTTGGTAGGCCAGCCTAAAGAAGAAAACGGTAATAGAGCAGATGAAAACCATGTATCAAGAACATCGCTATCTTGATGTACTTCAACATCGGCACACAATTTTTCTCTAACTATTATTTGAGCCTCTTCCTTGGATCTAGCTACTATCCACGTAGTTTTTCCATCAATATCACAGTAAAAGGCTGGTATTTGATGACCCCACCATAATTGTCGAGAAATGCACCAATTTCTAAACAAAAAAGATTTTATCAATCAAACGATAAGAAAAAGTGAATAAATCAGATAATGTAATTACTACCTCGACTTCGTTTCAGAAAGCCAATCAAACCACGTTTTTTCGTGAAATGCAGGATCAAGCTTTAGAGATCCATTTTTAACTGCCTTGAATGCCCTTGCAGCCATTTCTTCACATTTAATGAACCATTGCTCCTTTAATAATAATTCTATAACATCTCCCGTTCTTGAACATCTAGGAACTTGCATTTCATGATCCTTAACTGATACCAAAGACCCCATATTAGCTAGATCAGTTAGAATTTTTTTTCTGGCTATAAATCTTGGCAATCCCTAAAAGTGAAATATTTCAATATAATTTTTAATACTGAAAATCTTTTTATTACTAGAAAACTCACCTTGTATCTTCCACCTTGATCAGTCAATTTACCATCTTCATTAATTATATCTATTATTTCAAGATTGTGATTTTTGGCTATGGAATAATCAAATTCATCGTGTGCTGGAGTTACTTTGACAATTCCTGACAAATATAATACAGTTTAGTCAACTAACTTAAATTTTAAAGTAGCAAAATCTTGGAATATTGATACCAGTGCCAAAATCTTTTTTGACTCCTTTATCTGCTATTATAGGTAAGTAAGCTTCCTTCAATGGATGTTTCACTTGTTTCCCTATGAATTGCGTATAACGAGTATCATCTGGATGTACAGCAAGTGCAACATCTCCTAATAACGTTTCTGGCCTGGTTGTGGCAACACTTAACTTTTCATCTGCAAATTATGAATGAATCAAATACATGAGTGTCACGTAAACTTTATTTTAATAATAATCTTACGTGAATCCTTGAGATTATAAGAAATTTCATAAATCTGTCCAAAAGTAACTTTCTTATCATAGCCAGGTATTTCAAGGTCTGTCTTTTTTTTCAAAGTTTCAAAATCAACTTCTATGTCAGACAGTACGCTCCCTAAGGTTGAAGACCAATTGATCAACTTTTTTTCTCTATACAACAAATTTCTCTTATCTAGTGTGATAAACGCTTCTGTCACTGCAGTATTATGATGCTAAAAGTCCATGCAACAAAATAAAATACTTTTTTAACACTACCCTATGAATGCTTATGTACTGTGTTAACATTCAACTTACATCACTAATGGTAAAGTACACCCTTAGCCAATCTAAGCTGGCTCCTAAGGTTTTCAGCTGGTCCTCAATAACTTGACCTTTTTCATTCTTCCACAGATTAACAACTTCTAGGAATTGTTCTTTGGACATGTCAGACTTTTTAATGCCTTTTGTTTTGTATAAATATTTCTCAATCACAGCCTGAGTGGCTATTCCAGCATGATCCAAGCCTGGAACCCACAATACTGAAGCTCCATTCATTCTGTGCCTAAATAAATAATATGTATTGTTGAATTTGAGTAATCTTTGATTTTTTAGTACCATGGAAAATTAGTGCAATAAATTTACCAACGAGCTAAAACATCCTGAATTGTAGCAGTAAGAGCATGACCCAAATGTAAAGTTCCAGTGATATTTGGTGGTGGCAAAATCATTGTAAAACTCTTCTCAGCTTCCTCTTTTGGTCGAAAATATTTATTTTTCTCCCATACTTCGTACCAACCCCGTTCGACATCTTGTGGCCGATAAGTTTGAGGAAAATCTAAATAAAAAATTGTCTAATTTGAATTATCAATAACAAAATTTTTATATTGAATACTTTACCATTAAGACGGTGATTGTTGTAGACATTATGACACTTCCTTTTCAAGAGGGCATTATTTAGTGTGGCTTTGACTTGATTCGAATACATCTTTCGTTTTTATTTGTTAAAAATATTTAAGACGGAGTAATCTTTTTTTTCAACATGCTTTTTGCAAAACTACTCTCAGTCCCATGTCCCAACCTATATGAACCTAGCTGATCATTGACAACATTGACTATTTTGTGACAAATTGTGACGTGACGGATTGAGAAATTTAAGACAAACAGTGACGTATTTCATGGTGTAAAAAATACATACTAAGGTGGGCTCTTCAGCCCCCGAACTGATCAGCCAATCAGGAGGCTTGGAACAAGCGACCTTCCATATTGGATTTTCCACTAATGAGCGTAGAGAGCAATTAAGCAGTACTGCACTCGTACGTGTATTTATGCACTCACACTTGTTCTTGTGCGCGCTTTAAGTATATTAAGTGCATTTTTATGTTCCGTATTTACCGGGTTGTTGTAGTTTTTCCCTGCAAGCGTACTGCAGTACACGTACAGTGGGGGCTGTTTAATTCATTGAGCGGGAAATACAAAATTGACCAATGAAAGAGGTTATGTGATCGAATCAGCCAATGGGAATTAAATGTTTGAATTTCCCGCTCAACGAATTAAACGGCCTCCACTGTACTTATAGGTTATAGGTTGTGGACGGAGCTGTGATGCTGCGAAAAGTAAACAAACAAACACGAACGGAACGTATAAAAATAGAAAATTTAATTGCCAGCCATGGTTTACATGACTTTTCCATCAAATTTAACGGAGGAGGAATTAATGCTGCAAGCCAAATACAACAAATTGAAAAGAAAGGTATTCACGACTAAGTAAAAACTACAATTATATTCTTTATCTAAGAAGTTTTATAGGTTATGTTTCATTATTTACAGTCGTTAACTGAAAAGTAGTAGTCATAAACCTTTTTATTTTTATCAATCTATAGAAAAAGGCTCTTCAGGACTTAAAAGCACCAAAACCAGAGCCCGAGCGCACACCTCAAACCCCAAAGCGTCCCACCGAAGCTCGAGATGCTCGCGAGGTTGCCAAAAAGCTCATCAAATCCGGCGTTATTACAGCTCCCAAGACTCCTAAAAGAGGAGAACAAGCATTCAAAAGACCCAGAGGCTTGGAACGTAAATTGAACAGTATCGAAAAGGCAGTACCTTCGTATCAGCCTTTCTCAGCTATTCAGCAGGAAGATGAACCCAGTGAACCACCAAGACAGAAAGTCAAGGGTTTGTATGAGAGCTTTGTGTCGGCGAGTGATCCTGGGAACAAGAGTCCCACTGACAAAGCAACGCTTTCCAAGCCAGAACCCTACAAAATCAGAGGCAACACGATATTTGTGTCTGGTTACAAGATATCTGATGAATTCCTCAAAAAGCACTTTTCAAGATTTGGTGTTATTGTCAAGATCACTATAGAAGCCGAAAAGAAGTTAGTCATAGTCAATTGTCAGGCATATTATCAGATTATGTAGACACTATTGAATCACAAATTTAATTTTTCTATTTCAGAGCATTTATTACATTTGAAAAAATAGAATCAGCTGAACTCGCAATAAACGAAATGGATGGTATCATGGCTTCTTCCATACAATTGAAAGTCTCTATGGCAAGGAGACAGCCAGTAATTGAAGCGATAGGTGATTCTGGCACTAGTTCGTTGTGGGCACCACTGGCAGCGAGTTACACAGCAAAAACGAAAACTACCGACAAGGAAAAACGTGAGCTCAAAGTTTACGAAGACGATCTCTTTTCATAAAGACAGGTATTCATAAACTTGAATAGAATGATGTAAATATCCAGACGCTTTGTTATGACTGTAAAACTAATCATGATTTATTATTTAGAAAAAGGATTCTAGTTTTTTATGATGTATGATAAATTGTATAGAAAAAGAAAAATATATTGTATGTGTATATTACACTAAGTATACACCAAAGTTTAATCTTAATCCTCATTACCACTTGTGACTCTCATAATTGAAAAAGTCTGAGTAAAATTTCAGTTCCACTATGAGACGTGATGATTTTTCAAACTGTTAATTACTTGATATATGTTTGTTACGTGGAAAATTACTTTTTTTTCAGATTTGTTATTAATCAAAAAAAAAACCATTAGTCTACTAATCATCTTATCCATTACTACAGCACATATTCATAATTTCAATTTGTTTTCGTGCGTTTGAAATTCATACATATTACGATAGCTCGAAGAATTTTGTTTTTTTTCTTTAAACTAATTCAGATTTTCAATGCACGGCCCTTGCTCGATGAGTCAGCAAAGCCACTGAATTTACAGATTTGTATAGTTTAAACAAATAAGTAAGTACATACAACATCAATTGCGATGAAACAAAAATAGTAACTTTATTTTTTCATTTACCCGAAGGTCTTTGTACGTCAATAATTTTTCAATCCTATGGCTCATTGGTGGTTATATATTCTTTTAATACTTACATAATCACCTCAAAAAAAATGTGATTAAATATTAACTACAAGTACATATGTAGCGACAGTTACATTGACTCGATCGCGGTTACATATAGTAACCGTGCGGGAATTTCGCCGTTTGACGGGAGAGAATTATTAAGGGCTTGGCCACCTAGCGAGTAGAGCCTGAAGCGCGAGAGATGTGAGTCATGTCATGTGAGACTCTGTGAGTGAGACGCCACACTTATACTCGTTTTAATTTCCTGGGCAATCCTGGCTGTAAGAAGATTCGGGTTCCAATTCCAGCCACGGAGTGGCGCTAGAGTGGCTCAACAAAATATAGTGATATGCACACATGCGGAAAATCCGCGAGATGATATAGTAAGCATGCATAACGCATCCTATTAACTTTAAAAGTTACCTACGTACCTAGGTGGTAAAAAGTTTGGAGTAAAAAAAAAATAGTCAACACCACCCCAAGTATAAGTATATAAAAAATATATTCACCAGTGCATTTGCACTCACCTTTGTACCAAACGAAGAATTTTTCCGGTTTTCCCCTTCCTGAGGAGAGCCAGTTGTGTGCAAGAGCGTTGTGTTGTACCTATAACATATCGTATTGTGAATTGTGAGGTGAGGTGCGTGTAACGCGAGCGAAGAAGCGGCCAGCAGCCCGAAGGAAGAAGACCCAGCAACGATGGCATCATCGCTATGCAGACGAGCGATTTTCCAGGTGTCGAGGCGCCCGTTTTACATGTCCGCCTGTCAGGGTGAGTACGAGGACACTCTATGGCGCACCTTGACGGAGAGGCTAGGGTTGACGGATCACCCCTCTCTCAACTGTCTTGGTGCACTTTATCACATTACGTAATGCTGGGGTAAACTGTCTATTCTCGGGTCTTTTTTGCGTAGAACTTCATGAATGTGTAAAATTGTGTTGTTTGTTTATTTTTTTCTTCCATACTGGTGCTTACACGTGCTTTGCTCTTTTATGTTTTACAGCAACAAAAGGAGATGGTGGGTTCGCCGATCCACTGGATCATGCCACTGGTCTCGAAAAGGCTGAGCTGCTAGCCCACTTGGCTGGCAACGACGTAAGTTATTACTTATTCCTCCTTAAATACAATTTTTAGAAGTCATACTTACCTCGTTTTTCTCAGTACCTGTGCATATCATGCACGATCTGTTTCCATTTTCTCTCTTCCTGTCTTGGCTAGCAATTACTTCAGCTGATCTCCCTTTTGGAGATAAAATATTGTGTTGTGATTGTAAATTATGAAGAGTAGAACTTTTGAAGTTTTCCGATTTATAAACTAAGTATTCAATTTTACTTATTATTTTGGAATTCACAAGCCACCTTCAGTAAACAAAAATATTGATTTAAGATTCATTCACTTATTGACTTACAAATACAGTCCTATCTTACCTGATGTACCAAAAGTTCACTACTCAATTACATATGTAGTTATTGATTTCTGGTGCCTCTTTATAATTATCTTGATTATTTAAAAGTCTGCTGTCATTTTAATTGCTGAATTGTAGTTCGAATGACAGTTACACCACTGTGTAATTAATGAAACTATTTGAAGTGGTTTTTTACCAAATGCATACTATTTTTGGATTTTAACGAATTTCACATCAGCACGCAAAATTATAAAGTATTTTTCGTACTGTAATAATTTTCTAGTTAAAATTTTAGTTACTTTTTGATTTGCTTACATAATTCAACTGATTGTTAACTTAATAGTCTTACATAATAATCAAATCTAAACACAAGACAACCATATGAAATTTTAGTGGGAATTATTAAAGGAAAATTTATGCATGTAGATTGGTAACGTTTAAGAAAAAACGCAACTATAATTTTCATTAACTTGGGAAAATATTTTAGGATCCTTTTGACACAAAAGTGATGAAACGAGGACCGGGCACCAAAGATAAACCCAACCTAGTCGGTAGTTACTTCAAAAGCCGTTTGGTCGGCTGCGTTTGCGAGGAGGATCAGATGCACATTAACTGGATGTGGTTGCACAAGGGTCAGCCCAGACGCTGCGAGTGTGGCCATTGGTTCAAACTTGTCGAACGAGCACCTTTTCCCGCTGAATAAATTTTCAATTAGATTTCTAGTTGATTGTTTGTGACCATCTTGTTTAGAATAAAAACGCGTTATTAGAGAAAAACGAAAAAAAAAAAACAATCAAGCCTTAGGGTGGCAAATTATTTTACATTCGTAAACATTCAATAAGCACAGTACACTTGTAATTAAAAGATATTGAAAACAACAGCGAAAGTGAGAATAACAACTGTCCTCCCTAAAAGTTAAGTTCTATTGCTATGCAAATAAATATCGTTAAAACATTAGAAGCGTATAGTTCAACAAAAGTTTTATTATCATACACTAATAAAAAAAAAGTTACATCCTTGACTGATACAAATTATTAGAAAATATGTTATGATGAAAATTGCCTTTAAAATATAAAACAATTAAGAATCACAAAGTTTTTTTGATAAATAAATGATACAATGCGCATGTAAATACTTAATATGTTTCATTTTTTTATGTAGAAAAAAAAAATTAATTTACTTAATTATATCACCGTTTCAAAACCACCGTCTTTACGTAGACGTATGAGATACCCTAACTGAAGAAAGTGACCACCTCAACCTACACATTATTTCTGTTACCCTCAAAAAGTGATGCTTTCTTACATATGCTGGAAAGCTTACATAAAAACGTTACTTAGAATATGTACAATAGTTCCATTTAACATAAAAATTGCTAGAGCTTTACTGCTTATCATCGGCAATCATCGTCAAAAAAATTTCATCAGTTTTCTTTCTCATCTTGAAAAATATTACCATTGTTCGATTCAACAAAGTCCTTATTACTATCCTTATTCGAATTTGTGAATTCTTGAGACTCTGAGTTCTCCTTAGCGGTGAAATTTTCATTGATCACTGGACTTTGATAAATACTCGTTGACATTTGTGATACCTGGTTAGTGTCAGCTTTTTTCTTTAGATGACCAACCACTGTGACATAAGAACCGGGTATCAGGCCAACTTTAATGCTGTCAGTTGCTCTCCACCATCCCGGCAAATTTTTCGGCTGCAGCGACTGAGGTGCCAGCCACACTTTTTGACCTGTTTTTAAAGGTAATTCTTCACTTGATGCTGGTACAAAGTCATACAGCGCGGTCGCAGTGTAAACTAGTTCTTTATTTTGTAGCCATTCCTTGGGATTGTTTACTGTAACAAAGAAAACTGAATATTGCCAAGAACTAATACATATTTTATTTTAAAATAGCAAATATCTTACCATCAATGCTGGCATTTTTGGCATTATTAACTAATCTGTGAATCAAATATGGAGTGGCAAAAAGAATACTTAAGAACAAGTAAATTGGCCACGAAGATGTACCAGTTGTTTGTTCTGCCCCACCATTCATAACTTCTGATATTGTTTCTCTCCACAACATTTCGCTGTTTGTATTTTGGTTTCTTAATCCTAAAAATAATAAAAATTTTCATTTTTTACATCTGCATGATTTATGTAAATATAAAAAATTTTCATTACTTACCAAGAGTGTGCTTTACTTTATGGTACAACCATTTCAAAAAACGAATTAAAGCAAAACTACCTAGCAGCTGCCTTAGCATTGATCTCAATTTTCCCATGTTATCAGCTACACCCAATAATGCTCTGAATGAGCTGGTCATAGCAAAGAACGTCGACTCTAACATCATAGTTAACGATGAAAAAGTTTGCACCATTGCCTCTATTGATTGAAATGCTGGTCTTGTACTTTCTTCAGCATACTGAACAAATCTAAATAAAACAAGAAATCAAATCATTAAGAGGTATCAGCAGGCATTGTTAGCTTACAAAACAAAAAATAACCTGTTTTCCACGTCTCCACTGGGCCCTCCCCATTGATTCTGGCCATACATAGAATAACTGGGATTATATCCATACGATCCATAACCCATGCCCATGCTACCAAATCTGTTATACCCATTCCAACCAGATCCGTAACCACCATAACTGTTCATATGAGAAGAACCAAATGGGCCATAAGGGGATTGATAAGAGGAAACTGGCCTTCTAGGTGGTAATGGTGGAGGAGCTATTGTAGGGACACCTGGCACTCCAGTTGTCTGTGTGAAACCTGGCATTGCTGCTGGCTGTGATAATCTACAAAATAGTAAAAATACTTTTTATCTATATTTGTGATATGCTGCAGCAAACGTTTCAATACTAATTCATTATTGCAAGGTAGGTACTGAGTATTAGATAAACAAATATTTACCCATTAACTATTGGAGATGGCTGACGAAAGGGCGTGGAGCCAAGAGTACTTGTGCTCTGTTGATTCATCATATTTATCCCTTATTTTGTAATTTAAAGTAGTACAAAAACTATGTATAAATTACAATGTCAAGTTTTTTCCCCATGAAACATTTACGAAAGTTGTAGGTTATTGGTCTTCTTCTCATCAAACTCTTCACGTTTTCTCAATCGATATCCAACTCCGACTCACACAAGTACTTATTATTACAATAAAATTCAATGTAACGTAAAATCAATAATCATACACATCTCTAAACGTACTCATTCAACACTTGACATTAGTTTTGCAAACGTTAAGCCAAATGACTATACTTTACAAAAAAACTCTCAAAAAAAAAGAGATAAGCAGTTGCAAAAAAAGCGCGTCAGTATGTATACGTGTCCTCGCACAATTCGCAAATTTGCATATGCATACATTAATTAAAGATAAATAGGTATATAGGTATACACATGTGCATGCATTTCTTAAAGTTCTTTCGTACGGTTTCTTCTTCTGCTTTTCGTTTCACTTCAACTGGGAACTGAACCGATCTTGGAACAGTTAAAAAAATTTTGTCTCCTTCGTTGGAGCAGCTTATTGATTTTTTTTTAATTAAAAAATTTATTAGAGGGGCTAGAATGATTAAAAACCATTAAACTTTGATGTTAAAGTGGAAAGTGGTTTTATATTAATATTATTTATCAACAGAATTTCTCAATAATATTGTTCCACCACAGGTACCGCTTAACTACAGTTAAGCTTATTACTAATTAGATACTACTAATTTATTACTTTTAAGAGTAATAAATAGTAAAATATAAGTAATATGACTGTAGAATGTCAAAAAATCCAAAATTATTCATTCCTAAAGTTGCTAAAACTAAAGTTTTTAATTTTTCCGAAATAATGGGTATCTAATATATAAAATTTAAGTTATCAAATATATATACATTATGTGAATGCACCTATGTATGTGTATATGTGTAGGGGCCAGGGGCGATGTACGCAATGTAAATATTGCAATTGCAGGCATGCATACCTATATACTAGATACTCTACTTATAGTGGCCTCTACTGCTCTCTTTACCAGAATGATAAAATTAGAAAACGATATGATATATCATATATAAGTAACTATATATCATATATCATATATAAATATCATATATCATTATATATCATATATCATATATATCATATATAAATATATATCATATATCTTATATAAGTAACAGCCGTACTTATAACAGGCTGTTGCAATTTGTTGTGTGCGCGCTTTCGTGCACTCGTAAGTAAGTAAGTATAAGTACGTGTTATTTGTGCACTCTTCAACTCTTCACTCTTCTGCGTTTACGCAGATGTCGTGACCGGGCTTGTAAAGAAGCTTAAGCTAAGGCAGTGACAGGCTGAGCTGATGAGATGAGCTCATGAGCTAAGGGTGGAAGAGAGGAGTGGACCGTTCGAATGGTACTTAAATAAATAAATACTTCATTCTCGGCCATTTACGATTCACCTTGTAAGTTTTTCGAGAAGCAACAAAAAACTGCGTTCTTTTGTTGACAATAAGAGTAAACCTTACTGTTTGACTCAGTGACACTCTCAGTGCTCTAATTTAAAGGTCTACGTCTGATGAATCACTTTGTTTTGATTGTTGCAGTAATTGGTAAGACTTTTAGGAATTCTTTGACATAATGGGAGCTGGAAAAAGTCAATTCACTGAAGAGGAACTTCAAGATTATGAGGTTATTGGGTTATTGACATTGATTCTAGAAAATATTAAATTATTTAAAAAAAATCTTATTACTTCTTTTTTTCAGGATCTTACCTATTTCACAAAAAAAGAAGTCTTATAGTACGTATATTTTCATTATATTTATTAGAATAAACATGCATCCATTAAGAATCTTAAATAAATAAATTTTTTTAGTGCTCATCAAAAGTTCAAAGCACTAGCTCCAGAAAAAGTTGGACACAATAAAAATGCAAAACTGCCAATGAATAAAATATTGCAATATCCAGAATTAGCTGTTAACCCATTTAATGATAGAATTTGCAAAGTATTCAGCTCCAGCCAAGATGGAGACTGCACTTTTGAGGACTTTCTAGACATGATGTCTGTTTTTAGTGATGCTGCCCCTAAAGCTGTAAAAGCTGAACATGCATTCAGAATATTTGGTAAGTCAAGTCTTTTTAATTTTTTGCCTATTTTATTAAAAAAATAATTTATTTGTTTCATAGATTTTGATGGAGATGATATGCTGGGTGTTGGAGACTTGAGACAAGTTGTTGACAGGCTCACTGGTAGTCAAAGATTAAGTGAAGGAGACATGCAACAGCTGATTCAATTTTTACTGGAAGAAGCTGATTTAGATGACGATGGAGCTTTAAGTTTTGCAGAGTTTGAGCACATTATAGAGAAAAGCTGTGATTTCTCAAAGTAAGCATTAACTCTAATTTTTTAGTTACCTCTTACGCTAATGTTTTAACATTTATCTCTTTTTTTTCAGAACTTTTAGAATAAATTTATAAAAAAAAAAAAAAAAAAAAAAAAAAAAAAAAAAAAAAAAAAAGCTTACCATACAGCACAAATTATTTATGTAAATATGAGACTGAGTATAATAGTTTAATCTTTCAAGGTATTAAAAATATTGGTGATATTCAAGACTTGAGATATTTATCCAATATAATCGAATATTTAATATCACACCCTTAAAATATTAACAATTGCACGCCTGATGTGTTATTGATTAAAAACTTTTTACAAGTATTCATATAATTTTTGCAGCTGAGACTCTGTCTGTAAATGTTCTTATTTGATATAAAATATTTATAATTTTTTTTTAATGTATTCTTTTTATATAATAAACTACTAATGGCCAATATATTTCTGGTATGATGATTTTGATTAACCCAATGGACAGTGAATATTATGACTCAAAATTTTTGAGGAAGTTTTAAAAAATTTATTACAATTTTCGTCATTATGACACCACAATGTATTTAGTAAAAATCTCTTGAGTCTTACAAAAATGCTTTTACTTTCCACTTCAAGTATCAGAGTATTGGAAAGTTAAATATTTTAATCGTTTTTTTACTCCTTATGATTGTAGATATCCCCTGAAAAATATAAAAGAATGAGTAATTGATACTTAAAACCAAGGTTTAATGTTCAGGTGTTGTGCACGGAATCAAACTTACGGTAGTTTCATTCGCATAAATATCCAGCATGTGAAAAATGACACTAAAATACTAATGAAGCCGACACTGATTAACAATATCCTTGTTAACTTGGGCATGGATGGACTATGTGTTTGATCTAGAATAATAAAACCCAGGCCTCCCAAGGTAAACAAAAAACTTGATGCCAATCCTTCCATTATGTACTGTCCATTTACACGATACGGCATAAATGCAACCTATTGAAATCATCGAGTATTATTGTTTGATCAACAAGAATAAAATCAACAAAGTATTTACCGGTCTACTGTGGCCATGTTCATCTGTGGTAGAACCAACACTGGGTGGCTCCAAAATCACATCATATATGATACCTGCATCAAAATAACAACATACTATTATTATTTAAAGCACCAAAAATTATTAACAATACTTAATGTTTAAAAGTAAAACGCACCACCAGTCATTAAAAAGTAAGAGAGCAGCACCATGGAAAAAACAACCATTGCACTGGGTTTCACCAACCATGACGGCCGCTTAAGCTTCAAATTAGGAACTTCGAGGATGTAATAAGGCAGTCGGTAGAGAAAATTCATTTTTTAATAATAACTATTACACGCTCTAGCGCTTGTATGTTTTTATTTACATAAGCTATTGGCACAGATAAGTCGGTGCGTGGAAATTATAAGAAAAATTTTCAAGCAACTGACGGTCTTTTGACACGTTGTTCAATATTTGTATATATTGGTGCGTGTATGTGACAGAGAAAAAAAACACAAATCTGACATAACCTTAAATCCCGAGTTGTCGTCCGTCGCCGACCCCGTCCGTCGTCTGCAAATGTGACGTGATTTATTAAAGGCAGAGAGTGTCTGCAGTTTCTGTGAAAAAGTGCATTTAATTGTTAAGTAAACATTACTACGCTTCAGGTCAAAAAGAAAAATACGTGTACCTAATTTGCAAATCTGTCATAATTTATTGATTCTTTGCAAGGATACTTATTATTCTTCGAGTTTATCATCACGAAGGTGAAAAAATTCTTACCAATTTACTTTGAAACATTGTTTTGTGATAAAATTAACGGGAAAAGTCAATTTTTATTCATTAACATTTCGTTAATGTTAATTTTTCAGAATCTTTAGGACCATTGGCATTGAAAACAATGAATAACCCCATGCAACAGGCTGGCCCTATGGGTATGAACCAAATGGTGCAACCAAATCCTGTTTTGCTGCATCCAGTTCAACCTCAGATGCAACAGCCACAAGAAAAGCAAGACAACATCTCCAAAGTCAAGTTATTGATGGGCCCTCTTCGTGATTCACTTGCCCTGGCTCTAAAGACAGCTGCTCAAACGTTGCATCAAAACAGCCTAGTTGACACCTCCAAAGGCATTGATCCACCAGATCATAGATTCAACAAAAATATAGAAGAGTTTTATTCTATTTGCGATCAGATTGAATTACACTTAAGAACATCGATCGAGTGCCTTGGCCAGAACTCATCATCTAATAAATATATGCCAGTTTCTGTAATACCTAGCAGGACTGAAATGATTGGCCCTGGAGTACCTCAAGATGCTTTGACCTATCCTCAATATTTGATGACAGTCAAATCACAAGTTCAGTATACAAAGGATATTTATAACTTACTGTATAATGCTGCTCGTTCGATCACACCGTCTGAACAACCTCCTGCCTGAATGATGCATCATTTTAAAATTAGGTTTTCTATTCTTGTGATAAATGATACAAATTTGACTCTCAGACAAGTATCTTACTTAAACTGTTATCCGACATATTAAATGTAATTGAAATTTAATTTTGTAGTAATTAAAAGCAATTACAAAAGTACCAAATTTATTAATAAATAACAACTTTTTTACAAGTTTATACTTGAAGTTTCAACGACTATCAATACCGATTTATATAAAATTAAAGGGCAAAGATGTGGGAACATGTTTTTAAAGTTTCTGATTGAACAGTGAAGATTTCGTCCTCAATTCTGAAAAAGAAAAGATAATGGGTTAGGAAAAAAAAAAGAAATTTAATAGAGGCTCTGTAATATTACATACATTTTCTTCAAACTGTTTATCTCCTGTGACGTTGTTGTAAACGCTTTAAAATTTTCTGAGAAATTTTCTAAAGCTTCACATTCAGCCAAATCACTTATGTTTTCCAATGTTTCAAAGCATTCTGTGACGACTTTCTTGAACTCCTCGACTTCTTCTTTGTTAGCTGGTAGTATGGTATTTTCACAACGCAGTATATTAAATCTATTTAATAAATTTTTTAACTGAGGCAGTATAGTAATGATTTCACAATCATTTAGATCCGCTAAACATTAAATAAATTATTCACTAAATATCATCTTTAATAGCTATGCTTAAAATGTGAGAATTAATTTTTTTACCTTTGACATTTTTTACCACGAACGCGATTTTATCTTGATAATCAGTCAAGTGACCAGCAGCTTTGACCTCTTTTATCCTGGTCTCAATTAATTTGTATTTTTCATGTAATGCCTTAGTTTCCTCGCAAAGGTTTTTTATGGATGTGGTAAAACATTTTTCAGCATTCCTAAGGGCCTCTTTTTCTAGAATCAACTCCAAATGAGATGCAACGTAATCACTGTATGCCAATTCCATATCTAAGTTATAGTTCTCTGCTTCTAATTTTCTCAGACTTGCGTTAGGTAAATTTAAAGACATCGAAGATGCTCTGGTTGGGTGAAGTTTTCTTCTTGGAGAACCAACTTAAACATTTATAATATTTTATGTATTGTTGATTCAAATATTTTTAAAATAACTGTAAAAGTAAGTCCTACCACTCAACGTGCTACAGTCCAACTGACGTGATTCTGAGCTATCTGATATTTTAGTATTCTTGAGCCTGTTGCTATTAGTAAAATAAAAAATTTTTTAAATTGAAAATTTGTCAACCCCAAAACTTTGTAATCAGTTGATAGTCAAGTGACTCACCTTTCGATTCTTTGCAACGGAGTACCTTTAGACTGTTCATGATGCATCTTTATATCAATTTATCGAAACAAGCACAATTATCACAAACGAAAAATAGTAATAATGCAATCGTTGTTTTTTTTTTATATCACACCCTCACCAACCGCCACTTTGTATCTCGCGTGTAGTGAACGCAATGGCTTCTGCTAATCTGCAGTATACTCAAGTAAATAAAGGCTGCGTTTGCATGTGCCTGATGTCGTCACCTGTCAGTTAACTTTTTTGATCGCGATCTCGATGAATCACAAATCACCATCACAAGGCGTAGTAAAAAGTATAGTATCAGATCTTGATCGACAGTTTAATAGTTTAATTTGCAGTGTTGAATTCACAAATTAATTTTTTTATCGAGAAGGCAAAAAGTAAAATATTTCTCTGCTTATTGCTCGCATACAAGTATCGTCGTCAAGTCTCGCTCGGCGCGTGTTTAAAAAACTTGAAAATAATACAAGCATATTGCACTTTCAAATGTACTACTTAACAGTCGAGTGCGTAGCAGATTATTTGTTTTGAGCCCATTGGGTCGTGTGTTTGTGTGTGGACATATTTTTTTTCAGTTTGTACAGTAAGTTGTGTACGGACTAGAGATCTAAGATCAAAACGAAGATAAAACTTCTAAGTTCTACTTCCTTGCTAAGTACAAGGAAACTTGCGTGGCTGATTATTTGAGGAAGCCCAAGTGAGTGCACAACTCTTTTTTTTTTGCTTTCCTTATATACTTATATATTTCTACCGCAAGTGGATGAGTAATCGTGATTGTTTACTTCTTTTAACTTTGAACAAGGTGTTACGCTTATCTGGTCTGTTTGTAGGTATTCTTAAAAATTTTTCTCAAGAATTCTCTTCGTGACTCTTAATTTGAGTAATTAAACGTTCATTACGTTAATAATATAGTATATTAAACGAGTTTCAAGAACATAACCTTCAAGATTTGATTACGAAAATTTTAATCTTATCGTAACAGATATTGGTTTTTTACTTGTAAAAAAACAACTGCTTGCCATAAACTTTTATTGTTTCCATACTCCTACAATTTTGTTAACTCGATGCAATCGCTCCTTCCATTTTTTATAGTTCTTACAATTTTTTACTTGCAACTTGTTTTGCCTGTTGTGATTAATTCTTTATTGCATGTACGTTTTCAAAAATTAAGTATACATTTTTAACTATTAGAAATGATAATTTGCTGTTTGTTAGTGTGTGCGTTTATTTACGGTATTTTATATTTTTAGGTAAAATAACTTAAATCATCACTATGGCTCCTCCAACGATGGAAAGGATACAAACCTTGGAAGCAATAGAAAAAGATATCATTACCTGTTTGCAAACTGCAGGTCAAGCTTTTATGGAATTAAGTAAAGACAAATCTAATGTAAAGCAAGCAGAAAACCATACAGTTCAGTTTGTAAGGACTTTAGCACAAGTTGAAGCTAAACTTAGTGATCAGATCAATTATTTGACTCAAGTTTCAACAGGTATGTATAANCGTCATATTACAATTCTATTCTTATTTTTGAACTAGACTGAGCTTTTGATGTTTTAAAAAAAATATGATTGTATTGTAAAACGTGGAGTATTTCTATTAAAATTTGATAACCATAAACTACTGATATTTTATTAAAATTTTAATAAAACAGTTATTTGGTAAAACATTTTCTTGCAATATTCTTCAATGGTTTCGTCTGAGTCCCAAGTTTAAAGTATTTAAAATTAATTTAAAAAATCATGTAGTACAAAAATTATTTTTTTAACTGTAATAGACATTGCATTTCTACTTCAAAATTTCAAACATTTTTTAAATATCACTTTTCTTTAAAAATACTTTCTGTCTGAGTCCCAAGTTTAAAGTATTTAAAATTAATTTAAAAAATCATGTAGTACAAAAATTATTTTTTTAACTGTAATAGACATTGCATTTCTACTTCAAAATTTCAAACATTTTTTAAATATCACTTTTCTTTAAAAATACTTTCTTTGTATGTGCACTGTGAAATATAATTGTACGAATTTCACAAAAAAAAGTAGTTTAAAAGTATTCAGCTGAACATTATTGAATACTATCCAACAAATACATATATTTTCCTTTCACAAACTTTAAATAAACCATTTCAGGTCAACCCCATGAAGGCTCGGGTTATGAGAGCCAGAAAGTTTTGCAGATGGCTTGGCACAGATTGCAGCACGTAAGGAGTCGAGTAGAAGAGCTGGAGCGCCTCAAAAACAAGCACCTGCACTCGCGTAATCTTGCTGCTCTGGGTCGACCCCAAGGCCAGCCTCAACAACAGCAACAGCAGCAACAATTGCAGCAGCAACCTCAACAGCAACAACAGATGGCTGCAAGTAACGTCGCGGTGCAGCAACCCCAGCCAAATTCTACGACCTCTTAGTTTGAGATCTTGTAAGTTTACTTTTTTTCTTTTTTTTTTTTTCTTGGAATGAGGACCGAATTATAACAATTTTCATTCCTTAATTCTCTCTTTTGTTTTTTTTTTTCATTTTATTCGCGTAATTTTTGTACGTAATTCTATAGTAAGGCTATAAAAAGGCTTGCTTTTAGAATACTTGCGGGTATTTAAAGTATTTACAATTAGTTTTATCAACTTTTTTTCGAATAGTCTTGTTTATACACTTTTTGCATTTATTCTTTTATAAAACTAATATAAATTTCATTTTTATATCTAATAAAAAACAGCACGGTACAACAGTAGTACAATTCAACAAAATCTTACATCTGTTTATAAGTTTCATCTTCAAAAACTTTTCTGAAGCATTGTGGCTTAATGTTCAAATACACTTTTAAGAAAGAGCACGTTTTATAATTTTTGGATTAGCGTAAGAAAAATCGAGTGTTTCAAATACATATCTGTGTCAGACACAAAAAAAAAACGAAGTTGTCTAAGGCACAGTGCCGTCTATGACGGCCATGCTTCGCTTGACAGTTGCAGCCAACGATAGACGAGACTTGCGCTCCTCCTCCAGCTGCTTGCACATCTGTGCGACTTGCGTTTGCAGATCCGTCATTTGGCACTTCAAGGCTTTAACAGTTTCCGATAAGCACCTGTTGGCAGACAAGACACATTCACAAGATTCATCATTGTAAGCTGAGAATCATACTTTCCAACAGCATCTTTCTCATGATTGTGGAAGCCGATTTTGTTTCACAAGCATGAGATGGCAGCTGTTGATGATTACTGTTGAAATCAACTTCTTTGTAAGTGTTAATAGTAATAATACTTGTTTTTAATATCATATCATATTTATTAGAGAAAATGAAACTATTGATTTAGTTTTAAGAATTATTAACACTAACTTTTTGTATTTTATTTGAATGCATCAAGTAACTATTCATCATATTTTATTGTTTTCACGTTATCTATAAGCTAAAATTGGATCACAGTAAGATCCTAAAACGTCAATTATACTCACCAACGTTTTTTGACAGTATTTGAATGAAAAAAAAAAAATTTTTTTAACAGAACTTTTAAAGTAAATCATAAAACATGAACTGTAATTATTAAAAAAATTTATATCCGTTTGTAAGCATTAATAAATTATTGGTGACTTTGTAAGTGATAAAAAAAATTTTCGTATGTGCATACCCAAAGCGCACCTTGTTAAAATTCTTCTTCTATTAGAGAATTGACTTAATACCTATATTATTTCAGTTAATTTTGCTCCCCTAAAATGTGTTACTTCATTAATCTATAATTAGAATCACGTTTTTGCTTATCCTATCAATTTTTGGCATGCTTCTCAAATACCTATTCTAGTACAAACTTTGTAAAACTATATCGAATGAAACACAGCTCTAATGAAAAAAGTCTATTTGCAAGCTATAACATTTCAAAATAAACAAAAAATCACTAAGTACAAACGTTGTAAACACATCTTTCAAAAAAAAAAAAATAATAATAATAATAATTAAAATATCTAGCATTCTGTACGGAAAAAGGTAAAATAAAAAAAAACACTCGTTGACTACGACTCTTACGTACCTGTCCTCGTACGCGTCCCAATTTCCGACTCTACTATGCATAAACGATGCGCTATCGTTTACCTTATGTAGCGGGTAGTAATCCAACATAGCTGAAATTTTTAATCATCAAATTATGATTGTTGGTTGTGTTTTGGCTAAAAATAAATTTAGCTTTCGGCAGCGCTGACAATTTTTCGGGGGGACGAGCATGTTGATTTAATCGTCTTCCTTTTTTTCGTTGCCGTGGAAAATTTTTAGTCGACTGCTGAAAATATTTGGCCTCGCACAGCCTAACTCTATTTTTATGCAATTCAAATTGTTAAAGATCCGTTCATTTTTTTTTTCTTTTTCTATAACTACGTAAAAACACACCACATTGACAATTAAGTATTTAAGCGTCATTAAAATCAAGCGGGCTATGAGGCAGTTTTGTTACAACGAAAAAAAAAGCAAAAACATACACGTACGCACACACACGCTCATAAAATTATTAGCATCGTCATAATTCAGTGAAATCGTCAGGAAAACACTTGTAAGATCAGTGTACGATTAAAAATTAATCAGTTCAACAACTTGATAAAAATATGAAGAAAAAAAAATTTCACTGAACCATTAGTTACTGTAATGATTACATGTAGCCTGGTGTTATGAAATTATAAAAGCAGCTAACACACGAAAACTCATTTGCTTTGAAAGTAGCAAAAACCAAGCGTAAAAAAAATAACATCAAAAATCGCATTAACAAACGACTTACCAGAGTGTACCGTGAACCTTGCGTTAGCCGACAAACAATAGCCCTCGATGACCTTCAAAATTATTGCGTCCTCCTCAAACTGTCGTTCATCTGAGATGGAAATCATTCCAAATAAGTAACCTTTGGATTATACAAAGAGGGAATGAAAATAATATTAAAAAAAAAATAGTACTTACTGCACGTTTTGGTGGAGCGGTGGCTGTCCGTAGCGTCCGGCTTTCCAAAAGTCTTGTTCCCGTAAATCGGCGGCGTCGGTCTGATCGAAGCAAGGCTCCAGGGCGTGTTAATCCCGACCGGCGAGGAATGTTCCGTTGCTGCTGCTGCTGCTGCCGTTGCCAGCACCACCGGTTGCGTCTTTGAGCTCTGGTTCCCCGACTGGAGATGCAATAATTGACAAAATTTATTTTAAAAATTTGCGTCACAATCAGTATTAATTGTAGGATTTTTCAAGTGGATGATTAAACAAAATTGAGCATCGCAAAAACAGGTTGTTCAAGTCGCAAAGAAACGAAAAATAAAGGCTCGTGTGATGCGGAACAATGTGTATACATTATATATTATAATTTAAGAGTTGCCGTGATGCAAAAAAGTTTTTTTTTTTTTTATAGTAATAGACAGTGGAACACACAAAAGTATTATAAATAGATATTATACAAATGAATTAATAAAGAAGCGGTCGTCCTGATTATTAAACCACTCGAGAGTCAGTCTCTGCAGATACCTACATTTTTTATTTCTGTTTCTCATTCTCTATATGAGATGATTGCGTTTTTATTCATCTACGATACTTTGATAGCTAATATAAAATTAATCGACAATGAAAAAGTTTATAACACTCTACAAATAAGAAATTTTAACTCATTTATAAATACTTCATAATTTGAGAGTTGTGGTATTTAAAAACATGCATAATTTGCAATATGATTATACATTTATGACAAAAATATTTACATAACAATAAAAGTGTATGAGATAAAGATTCATCCAACGTAATTTTGTGCAACTTGGATAACTATTTAACAGTTTCACGATGTCTAAATATATTTCAAACTCTCAACCTATAAGTATTTATTTATATAGAAAATATAATATTTGCACATAAAATTATTTGTAAGTTAATGGTAATGAGTCCTATTACATTCCTATGATGTAGAGCTCTTAAAAAATTTAGTATAATTCACAAAACTTATTTATGTGTATGTATAAATCGATAATTTGGACAAGCACTTTCAACAGTTTATTCGGGACGATGAATCATGCCTGCTTGTAATAGTATAAAAATTTGCTAAAGCAATGCTTCTACATATTTTTCGCAAATAAACAATGCATCTTCGGAGAAATAAATTGTTATGCAGTGCTGTACGTATCTTGCTGTGGATGCTGCATATTACGTAAATAATCTGTGGTCTATGATAAATTCAAATACAAAAATTTCTTCAACGAAACGTCAATGTGCGCTTTTGTCTCTCAAAAGGAATTAATTCCATACAACAAGAGGCTTCGTGATTTAAGTGCTTTTTTTTTTTTTTTTTTTTTTTTTTTTTTTTTTTTTTTTTTTTTTTNTGTTTTTTTTTTTTTTTGTTTTTTTTACCAGTTAGTAAAAAGAAAACGTAAAGCAAAAGCATACTTCTCACAACATGGCTGTGTGAAAAAAAAAAAGAAAACTGTGAAGCGGCGTCAAAATTGCTTCCATGGTGATGTGGTGAATTTGAATTACAAACAATTAGTAGCGGCTCTGACAAACGAAAAAGAATTTTTCTAATTTTTTTTTTATGCATTTCAGCTAAACTCTGTTGGATCAACTTGTTTGACACCACGAGGAATCGTACAGGATAATGCTAAAGTTTTAAGCTAAAAAATCCCAGGCTTGTGAAAACTTTTATACTCATGTACTTCACTTGTGAGTCAACAACACCCCTTGATTCTTCTTCGTTTGTCATTCAAAATTAAACTCTGCCTTGTGTTACAAAACGAAAAGAAAACCCCACAATTGTACTTAAAACAAAAATTAAAAAAAAACAAGAGATGAATGTCAAAAAACGTCAGTGTGCGGTTGTTTGAAAAAAGTTATTGAACGACAAAATAGAACGAACGATATAAAGAAGAAAAAAAAAAAGTAGAAAGAAAAAAACGCAGCCATGCCATGGAAGAGCTTGCCTTGGTCGGTCATCATTGGGATCGTTTTCTTGAGCCACCAGTGCGCGTATAGGCCCGAGGTAAAAACCTGCCCGTCGGCATTACCATCGGGCTGCCTCGGCTCCGGCTCCAGTCCCGCGTCCTCCTCCACTTCGATTTCCTCCAACACTCTATTATTGTAATGATTATTATTATCATTGTTCCTGTGTATCTTCCGGCCCAGCGGCCTTCTGCTTCCCCGCCTCGTTGGCTTCAGCGACCTGTCGCACGCCAACGGCTGGGTCAAGTGCTTCTGCTGCACGACCGTCAACTTGGCAAACCTCTTCCCTGGCAACCCTTGCCCCTCTTCTTCCTCCTCGGACCTCTTTCCCCCTTCGCCCCTACTGGCTATGTTATTGCTGTTGCAGGTGCACTGCTCGACATTCTCGTCCTCGCTACTACTGTCCACGTCGTCGTCGCTGATGTTGAGCAGTGCCGCGCCGTCTTTCAAGCGGGACGAGGACAGCAGGCAGCTCTTGGGAGAGGACTCGGACGAGCTCGAGCCGAAGGGCGAGGTGCAAATGCACTGGTTCTCGAACTTGTTCTCGTCGTTCTCGCTCTCGCTGTGTGGGCCCCCGTCAACGCTCCTCCGGCCGCTGCAGTACTTGCCGGCGTTGTAGCACGAGCCCAGCTCGGCCGAGTGGTACTGAAAACTGTCCGCCATGCCCGAATCCGAGGACCTGGGACTGCTGGCCGTCATCGCCGCCTGTAGGCTCGACTCGCACTCGGCCCGCCTCAGACGGCCGGGCGAGGTCTGCGGCTGCCTCATCCCCAGCGAGCGCCAATTCTTCGAGTCCTCGGCGCTGTCGCGCAGCCTCGAGAGATCGGTGACAACGCAAGCCGCGGTGGACGGCTCGTCGTCGTGGGAGCGGAGCTCGCGGTACGGCACCGTGTCGAGGCTCGGGAGGATGCAGCTTCCACTGGCGTGGCTCATCACGGGGGGCAAACTACGGCTCGTGGGCTTGGGTATGGGGCCTTCGCTGCTACGGAACGCCCCGAGGAGGGTGGTCGAGGCGCACGAGGCCGGTAGACGCACGAGCTCAGCCTCGAGCGGCTGTTCCTCCCCATCCTCGTCGGTCACGTATCTGACGTCGAGTCTCAGGGTCGAGGACTTGCGGGGGGCTCGCGCCAATGGCTTGCCACTGCTGGGGTCGTCGTTGTCGTGCGGCTGATTATTACCGATTTCCGAAATCAGGGAACGGGGTCGGCCCGGGAGCAGGGAATAGGTCACGAGATGGCACTTGCGCATCCTCACGGAGGACAGGTCGGGCTTGAACAGGTACTCGAAGTAGAGTAACCGTTTGAGCAGCTCGGGACTCAGGAGCCGCTTGCGCACGAGCCGGGCGAAGAAACGCGACAGACGGGTGTACGGTGGGTGGCTGATGCAACAACTCACGTGGGACAGGGTGGTCGGCGAGCGGCTTAGGTTCGCGCTGGCCGAGCGGCTTGGCTGCTGTTGCTGGTGATGGTGGTGGTGGTCCTGGCTCAGCAGCTCGATCCAGTGCTGGCGCTCTTCACGACTGGGACACGTCACCGTTATGGTCTCGATCATCGGGCCTGGCGTTGGTTGAGAGAGAAAAAAAAAAAAAAAAACATGTAACGAGTTAGCGCGAGTTTATAACTTTGCGGAAACTCGAAGACTTTGAAACAAGCAAACTTGGATATCACGATCTCCTCGGGAGCTCGTATTGCACTCTATTTTTAGCTCGATTGGTTTTCACACAGTCGGCGAAGCACCACTATGCGTGAACGAGAAAAGCCGTTCCATTGTACGCACAAATGTTGTTTCAAAGTGTACAACGAGTCCGTGTGTGCTTTCTTTAAACATTTTCGCCAACTCACCAGTTATTTCGAAGGCGTATCTCGTGTCCTCGGAGTGTTCTACCGCGACAACGTTTAGGCCGGTTACTGGAAGTCTGCCCTAAAATTGAAGAACAGACTTTAAATAAAAGGCTAAATCACGAAACAACTGAGCAGATATGAAACTCACTTCGTAAACAAACGAACTCATCCGAGGACTCGTACTGAGAACAAGCAACGCCGTCGGGAACAAGACGAAATACCTGTCCCTTCTGTCGGCACCTGAAGCTAAAGTAACAGGCCCAACGTGGATAATGTCTCCCAGAGCGGTAAGCTCCTCGCCGTCCCAGCCTTTGATGCCACTGGTCAAGATCTGTATGGCGAGCTCGCGCTGCTTTCGTATCGCCGCGCAACGATCGGCGATTTCCCGATAAACGCTGACGCTGCGCTGGGTGTCGCCTCTGTCTGGATTGTTTTTTTCCGTGTGCCTCTCGAGCTCCTGCAGCATCGCCGAGTACTTGTCGAGTCGACGGAACGGCTTGCTCAGGCCGGTGGTAAGTACTAAGATTCCCGGCGATATCGCCCCGCTTCGCTCCATGAACTCGTTCAACTCGTCTCTGCAAATGTGATTTCAGACTGCTTCGGTATGTTCGCGAGATATAGGGGGGGGGGGGGATTTAGCGAATATACCTGTAACGATCCAATACGCAAACTGCTTGTGGATGGCAGTTGCAATAGGTCATGTGGATGGATTTGATTTTAGGGGCTAGGGTGAGGAAAATGTTGCCCACTCGGGCTTCCAGTCCTTGAGACAAGGCGCTATCTAAATTAGCTAAAAGACGCTGGTGCATCTCTAAAACTTCATTGAAGTTGCCGGCCAATTGCTTGTACTCTTCTTTTTTAAGTCTGAAAAAAAAAAAAAAAAAACATGTAATTGGATGGCAACGAAAATATTTATCTACTTGGAAAGAAGAACAAATGAAAATCAATGGGCTCTTACATATTGGCTGCCTCCAGAGGCTGAAGGAAATTATTAAGTAATCCTTGGAGTTCCGCGACGTTAGCTCGCTCGGAATCAACTATGTCTTTCAAGACGATGTCCCGGTTCAATGTTTGATGAACCGGCGAGTCAGGCGAACTCTTTTCGGACGACACTTTGCTCGACGAAGCCACGGAATCTGTGAATTATTCAACATTTGTGAATTTTTCATACCCTCCAAAGCTACTAGGTTTTATAGCCATGAAACGTACACGTGTTAGCAGATTAAAGCAAATGGTTATTGGGTGGTTTTTTTATTATCATGGCGATAGCTATTTTTAAACGAATATTAGTAACAAAAGCGATTTCATGGATTAGTGTGATTATATTTTTGCGCGCGATACATCATTTGAAGGTCAATTTATGCTTTTATAACATTTGGACTATTTACTTCAATCCATGGACAGCCGAGGTGGGTACAAAGTAACAACAACATCGATATTAGTAATGTTAGAATTGCGAGAATACCTGAATCGCTAAAGCTGAAACTTTGCAAAGAAGTACCTGGAGGCTTGTACTCTTTGACATAATTGGACGGAAACCAGCCAGTTTTTTCGTTCAAAGTCCCCTCCCACCAGCCGCCATCGTCCGTCTGTGTTATCGTTATGACTTCTCCTTTTTTGAAACATAGCTGATAATAAAAAAAAAAATAAAAAAAATACATAAATAAAGTTTAGACTGTACAATATGTAAGATTATTTCAAGGAAACAACAATTTACCAATGAATCGTAACTTATACGCGCTCGTTTTCTAATTATAAAAGTGACAGTTTGAAAATCTATTTTTACAGTTCAAGTTTAAAAGGAAAACTCATAAAGCCGTAAAAAATAGCCGATTAATGATCGTTCCGTTATAAAATACGTTAACTGGTAATCGTAAAAATCGATAAAACGAGATAACCCAAAGGCCATTAGTGTTGCAAACGTGATGTACGTAAATATGCATTACCGAGATTATTAAGATAAGATATCTATTTTTGCGTCCCCGACGTGTATATGTTATACACACATCGATGTATTGCATATAAACTCTTGAGACATTCTTTGAAGATGAAAATTGTACACCCACTCCTTGAGCACTTGAGGTACAAAGAATAGGCATTTTTTGTCTCCAGGTCTCTACTTTATTTTGAAAGAAAACAATAATGGTATATCCTACTTTACGTAGTTTCCCTTCTCAATTAAAAGCCCATTAAAATTTTCCAAACAAAACGACTTTAAGAGCATGCGCTTTCTAAGCAGTACCGATCAATCAATCGTAACTGTCGAATCAAACAAATCGTGCTGCAGCAATAAATATTTACTTTCAAATCCTCCTGGGAATCTTTATCTCTCTCTCTCTCTCTTTCCCGAGTTCTCGCAGAAAAGCGGATCAAAGTTTGAAGCAGCTGCAAAGCTCCTCTCGAAATCTGTGCCAAGTGCACGCACTCGCACACTCTCAGCTCCCAAAATCTCTTTTCGAGCAAACAAAATTGGTCGTCGAAAACGAAAAAGAGAGAGAGACGAAATAAAAACGCACTCACACCGACTCACGCGAACTCGGCGACGAGTACAAATAACAGTGGCCTCGTTACGCCATCATGTACACATACATATTCCGTTTGCTCGATTTATATACATACGTTACGTGACTCGCTGGCATTAGAAANAAAAAAAAAAAAAAAAAAATCGTAAAAAAAATACAAACAAGTTGTAAATAATTTTTAAATTACTTTGGTAGTATCGAAAAAATATATTTGAAATCTGGTAAGCCGTAATATTTGACAGCTACGTTGACTTGAAGATTGTTTGTTTAAATAATACTTTGGGCGATAATGTGCTCACCTCATCGTTGTTCGTTCCTTTGAAGGAAAACAGCGCCGTGACGAGTTTCGGCCCATCCGACTTTGACATATCTTCTGTGGGTGTCTCAATTGTTATATATTATCGTGGGTATACACCACCTAAAAACAGAACGAACGTTTCTCGAATAACTACTGCCTGTTGAAGAAACGACGACTTGAGACGAGAAAGCTAAGGAAAAAAAAAAAAACGGAGTTAACTAACTAAATAACTGTCCGTCATGTAGAGCTTGGCGTCGCTGCTCCTTCCAAATGAAATGTTATTCTATAGATGCATCGTGGGCTGCACTGCACTTTACCTTTGACCTACAACGATGAGAGATGGACCGACAATGATGACAGGAGCATCTGGGCGTGTATAATGTGAAATATAATATATATATATACCTTTGTTGGTATAAACACACCCGCGCACACAAAAACGCACGTGAGAGAGACGTGCACCACTGGACGTATATTACTTTCCTGGAGCTGCCGCACTTGGGACTATAATTGCACACACTAATATATATTTTGGAGCCGAGAAGGAGCCGCCTCTCTCGGGGGCTCCTCTCCTCTCTGGTTATAATTTCGCTCCTACGATCACCCAATAAAAACTGGCGCTCCGTTTTTGTGCTCCCCGTCTCTTCGTTACACGGGCGCGTGCGTGGATGTGTTTTAATAATACAAATAGGGAATAAGAAGTATATGTGCGCGTGTCGCGAATAAGATGGGTATTTCTGTATATATATATGTATAATATACTTTGGGACGTGTAAAATTGTATACTTGTAATATCCCTCGCGCGATTTTAGCGCGGCTATAAATAAACGAGCCACTGCTTATGCGTGTTATTATAATTATTAGCAGGCGAAAACTGCCCGACGACAAAATGACGGCTCGGAAATTCTTTTTTATTAGATCGCATGTATATGTAGGCATGCGATGTGTGTATGTGTACCGCACTACTGCGCGCTCCGATGACGACACACACTGAAAATGCTTCGGTGCAGCGGCGACGGGGGGGTGAAGCGAGAGCGCAAATAATAATAATAATAATAATGTTCACACTGTAGTGGCGCGAAAACCTCGGGTGGTTTGAAAGTGGAGTCAGGATGCAGGAGGTCCCCTCTTTTCGTGTGACGTACAGTGACATTTTTATCCGTTTTTTTTTCTTTTGTATTTGCTCATTTGGGACGAGTAAACAATCCTGTACGAATCAATGAAATAAAAAGCTCATCAACAAACAACCATACACAATTTATTTTTTCACAACAACGGTCGATCTTATTGCCACATGTATACGTATAAAAAAATCTTGTACACGCCCACACATCTCACTATACGCGAACTCGATAATGAGTACAACACACAATATGTATTTGTAAAAAAAAAAAAAAAAAAATAACAACAACAGCAGCACATTTCATCCGTTCAAATCCTCTCCTCCTTCAAAAACTCATCGTCGGCGAACCCCGGGTTCTCGTACGCGTGATTGCGCTCAGGCTGACGCTGCCTCGACTCGTTATTTGCCTCGGTACTCGCGTAAATTTTCTCGGGCTCGGGTTGTCTCTGCTGCTGCTGCTGCTGCTGTTGTTGTTGCAGATGTTGTTTTTCGTTTTGACGCTCGGCCAAAACGACGGTCCGTCTCCTCTGCAGCACGCGCGACAATCGCTTCGACAGCATCATGCCAGTTTCACCTGAAAAAAAAAAAAATCAATATGTATATATATATAAATAAAAGCGTGTTATATTGTAAGGATGCAAAAGATAAAACAAACGAAAAAATACCAGTCTTTCCGGAAGCGTTCAAGTTCTTCTGGAGCTCGGTGCCGAACGATTTGGCGTACGCGTGTTTGTCCTTGTTGTCGGCTATGTTGTGGATGGTCATGCGCTTCCTCGGCGGCAGGGTGTTGCGGTGGCCGTTTGCTTTGGTGTCGTTGTCGATGTCGCGCTGCAGCTCGCGCATTATCTTCTCGGCGAGCCGTTCGGTCTTTGCTTCCTCGGACAGGTACATCGTCTTTGACGGAAACAACAACGCAACGAGAGGGATGTCATTAAAAAAATCGACTGTTTCGGACACGTTTTTACACAGATGTATAGCGTATATTGTATTCTCTGACCTTGTCGCAGCAGTAAAAGTCCAGGGAGACCTTGGCCATGATGTGCGAGAAAGTGTCGAAGCGATGGAAGAGCATGGCCACGAATTGTATGAGCAGGACCAAAAGGAAGCCGAGAATAAAGACGAAGCCTATGGGCTCCAGGCGCAGGTATTGGCTGTCTACGTGTACCTTATTGGGAACGTATCGAAGCACCGATAAAGTTTCGCTCCCTTTTTACCGTTACTGCATGTATACTTTTTATCGTTGTAAAATTAATAGGTGCATACACATATATATAAATACTTACTTCGGTGGCTTCGCTATCGAACGTTATGTTGTACTTGACCCCGAAGGGCCACCGCAAGTGTATCAGCTCCTTTTGCATCTGCATCAGGAATATGATGAGCACGAAGAGCGCGTTTATCATGAAGAACTTGAAGATGTACTGATCCCTCAGGTCTAGTATCTTCTTCGCTATATCGGCCTACGCGGAGAGAGCAAAGAAAAAAAAAAAAAAAAAAAAAAAAAAAAAAAAAAAAAAAGTAAAATACAAAAGTATCGCCTCAACACTGTATAATAACCCACCTCGCGCTTGGGATCCTTATCGATGGGCTCGAGGTAGGTGCTGATGAACTGCTTCCAGAAGGTCTCCTCGTCCGACTTGAGAAACTCGACCTCGCCCTTGCCCAGATCGTTGCTGTGCAGCCAATTCGGCGACACCAAAAAGTTGTCGCTCTCCTGAGCTATGCTCCTCACGCTCACGCTGTCCGCGTCAAAGTCGCTGTCGTCGAACTCGGAGCTCGTGCTGCTTTCGTCCTTGTCCTTCAGCCCATCGACGAACTCGACCCGGCGACCAACTGGGTTGCTCGAGGAGCCCCCGTCGTCCAAGCTACTTTTGCGATGGTGGTGGTGGTGATGATGGTTCACGTCCCGCAGATTCCGAGAGCCACTAAAATGGGGTACATATAGTTACATGGTCGACAATAACCTTGCACTCCCGGTCGATCAGACTATATAGTGTGATTTTTTATTTTTTTTATTTTTATTTATTTTTTTTTTTTTAAATATTCTCATACGAACTTTTCCATCTCATCCAGCCGGCTGTCGATTTTAAGGAGCGCCGTCGTTACCTCCTTGTAGTCGCTTTCGTATTCGCGCGTCTGGTCCCGGGTGCACAGCATGCACTTGAATAGCCCGGCCAGGGAGAACTCCACGGCTCCTGTTTCCCTTCGGTTGGTGGCTTTCGCGTGCGCGCTCTTCGCTTGGCTCTTCTTCTGCTGCTCCTGTCGTAAATCAAACGCATGTTTTCTGATTTGAAAAAGGAAACAAACAAATAAAAGCAAGGCCTACAAGTTCCTCGGGGCTCGGGGGTGGTTTGGGCGAGTCCCTCGTGCCCCAGCTGATGTTGTTCATGTTGAAGAGCGAGAAAATGATGAGCAGCAGGTACATGGAGGGCACGGTCACGTAATAGATGCAGGCGTACTTGAGACAACCGAACTCTTGGGGATGCATGAGGGCAGTTATCAGGAACTCGAATATCACAGCGAGGAAGAGCACGGTGGTCGGGGCTAGCCAGCCGTCTTCCGAGATCTGGATCATTATGCCGACCAGCACGACTATCATCAGCAGGCCGTACAGCGCTGTTATCACGGCGGCGACTGCGAGCTGCGTACAGGTAATACATTATATACATATGGTTTTTCACAATAATAACTTCGGACGAAGTCAAAGCAGCAACTAAGAGTTCATTGTGATTTTTTTTTTTTTTTTTTTTTTTTTTACTTGAATTTTTTCTCGGCAAAAGTAACAGATGAAGCAAAACAGCAGGACCGGCAAGAGGTTGTAGTAGAAGCTCGTCCAGTTGTCGATCCTAAACGCAGCGACGAAGGCTCCCACCAACATGAGGAATATCGTACCTGGGCCCAATATCGTACTTCCTGCGACCAACACAATTTCTCATGAATAATCACACGTGGATGAAAAAAGACACGAAAACCAATGATCCTACCCATGAGAATCCATTGGTAGAATATGTAGATGGACGAAATATCCGGATTGGCCTTTTTCGTCGCCTCTGACGTTTCGAGCAGATCCATGATGTTGGCAATGGTCGAGGGTATCCACCGGCGCCTCTGTATGAAAAACTCGTTGAAGCCCTCCGGGGCGTGGGTGTAGGCGTCGCTAGCCGCAGAATACTCCACCTACGGCAATTACCATCCAACTCGATCACTATTGTATACATGATATATCAACCCTTCAAGGTAACATTAAAACAAAAAGCCTCTCACTCTGTAGCCTTGTTGCAAAATGAGGGTACAGAGCCACCGGTCTTCGCCCTGGTCGTACTGTATGTAGTGCTTGGCCTCCTCCGGCACGGAGGCGTACTTTCTCATGACGTTGTGGTCCATTAGCGCGTTGGCCCTGAACAGAGCAAAGCACCCAGGACTACAGAGTACACAGCCGATCGTGTGCTCGGTGGACTTTTGCAGCCAATGGCCGACGGCGTACTCGAATTGCTGGAACCACACGAGTGGGCCCTTACCCAACGGGTGTATACGTCCGCAGGCCGAGCCGAGGTCCGGATTGATCTTCATGCGATCGATGAGCGTCTTCACGGCCGAGGGCTTGAAGTCGATGTCGCCGTCTAGGGTCAGTAGGTACGTGTTCTTGGCGATCGCGCTCTTGCGCTCTATCGTCACCGGCAGCTCCATCAGCCGGTAGCCCAGAAGGTAGTACATGTACATCACTTGGCTCCAGCGCTTGCGAGTCCTAATCCGGTTCTTGTCTTTCAGGTGGACGTACAGGGGCGTTTTGTCGGGCAAAGTCCAGACTAGCCGACCGCCGTAAGGCGTCGGGTACTTGATAGGGGCCATCGGTCGCATGTTGCGCGCCCTCACGCACTTCTCCACCGTCTTGACGAACTCCATCACCCAGTCGTTCACCTGCGTCTTGTTCTCGTCGTGCATGCACCGGCCCACGCAATCGTGCATGCACTTGAACGCGTCGTCGAAGAACACGTGCACTGCGAGAGTGTGGATATTTATCTTTGCTAACTATGATCATCGACTCACACATCCTATAACTCCTATGCGTGTATAATAATATTAATTATAATAATCTCACCTTCGAGTTCGTAGTAGTCGCGCGACCTGATGCGCAAGCTCTTCTTCAGGGCCCTCATGACACCCTGGTCGCGATCGAGCCTGAGAATGCTGTTCAAAAAGTCCGTCATCTCCTCGGCGGTCTCGTGCCACATGGTCGCGCAAGCGTAGAGCCTCGTGACCTTGTCCTCCTCCCTGACGGTGGCCGCGTCCTCCTCCTCCTCGAGTTCCCTCGCGTCGGTGAACTCGTCCACCGTCTTGAGGTAATCGTCGTCTTCGGGTTCCCGCCGCCACCTGCTCAGGGCGAGCGACTGGTCGAGCGCGAGGGCGTCGTACGACGAGACCGAGAACAGCTTGTCGGTCGTCGCTAGTCTCTGGTTGACAAAGTGCCAGACCTGCCGGGTTATCCAGATCTGCGAGAACAGGCACAACAGCCACGTGTAGCTGTACCACTTGGTGGCGTATTCGTACATCGTCGTGGCCGGTGACGAAAAGAACAGACCGTCTGGCAGGACTTCGTGGAAGTAGCACTCGTTGATGACTCGCAGTCCACAGGCGATCCAGAGGAGGACTACCGTCAGCGGCACCGACAAGTTCAGGGGAAGAGCGAAACCCACGCCCTGCATCAGCGTTTTACAGGCGAACTTTGCTGGAATTCCAGTTTGAAAAACCAATATCAAGTTTTGTTTGTATGATAAATAGGTGTATTGTATATATCGCTTACCACTGCTGTAGACGCAGATCCCGGCGATCGCGTTGATCAAAAGGACTTTCAGGGGTATCCAGTCGGTGTCGGCAGTCGTCTCCTTGAACAATCCTAGGCTTTCATTAGTCCGGTTAGCCGATGATACCATGTAGTTGTACGATTTCATGTTGAAACCCTCGAAAAAGGTCTTGGCGGCGATGCCCCGGCTCGTCGTTATCACGAGGGCGGTGAGCACGAACGTCGTTACGCGAAGCAGAGCCGAGTAGCCGGTCAACACCGGCCGGAAAGCTTGCAGGTTTCGGCGGGCCAACCCGAGACTGCGGATGAAGCCTGATGGGGTGTTGGAAGGAAAGCCAAAGTGTTAATTATATAGTCTTTGTTTTCCCCGCTTCCTTATATTATTTTTATATTAACGATTTTTCGTGAAGCTAGGTTTAAATCGTCTCGTATCGCATTTGAAAAACGTAGGTTTGTCGGGAGTGGAACTTGGACAGTAAATGAAAGAAAAAAAGAAATAACCGAAATGGCTGTTGCTCGAGACGTAGTTTCCCCACCAGCGCAGAGAAGTCAGCAGGAGAGCTATGGGCAGAGTCCAGGACGCGGAGGACTGTTGGCCCTGTGACGCGAGATAAGTAAAGACACACAGTCCCAGCAGTTGGCAGCAAAAGGCACCTACGTCCGTGTAAAAGTGCAGGGGCTTTTGTTTCGAGTCGCCGTACTTGGTCAAAAAACCTGGAAAATTAATTTAACAAAATGTAATATGTATACCCTATATTTGGTGCAGATAAACTGCAAGTCCAATCCAATTGGATGTACCTAAAACATTGGGAGCGATGCAGATGCAGGTGAGCACCGCAGCTCCTTGCATCACATCGAGATTGGGAATGGCGAGCAAAAACAAGGTGGCCGTGCCGATGGTGTGCAAGACCTCGACGAGGGTCAACAGCCCGATGTATCGGAGCTTGGGGAATTTTATGCTGTAGAAGAACGAGTTCCAGATGAAGCCGACAAAACTGAGGGCCTCCGGTACCGAAAACGCGTAGATGATGCACCAGACCCAGGGCATGCGATCGTCCTCGGCGATACTCGACTCGTATCGGTGTTCTTCGCGGGGATCGCGTCCAGGGTACTGGTCGCAGTAAGGCACGCTCCGACCGCTCAGCTGGGACGTCGCGAACAGGGCGCTCGACTTGGCGATCACGCTACCCGCGAGGATGACGACCAGCAGGAGGCCGTAGAGGATGCTCTTGATTACCTGTAGGAGTGCCTCGTAGCCCCGTTTTTCCACCATCGAGCCCGTCCGTGGTGGCGACTCGGTGCATTTGAACGAGTCCCAGAGCACGAATTCATCCTCGGCCCTACGCACATCAGAGAGATCGTGAAAAAGTATACAATCGAGGATTTCTTCAGAATGCATACATGTGTTTTTCTTTTTCTCTTACTGTGTGGTTTCTTGAAATTAAAAAAAAAAAAATAAAAAATAAGGCATATAATACATACACGTATTTAACGTATCGTGTAAGTGTGGATGATGATTGTAAAAATTGTTGGTGCTATCTATTATTGTTTTATCATCGTTGTTTATTGCATCGCGTTCTTGCGCAGTGTCTTTAAAAATGCTGTGTGTGTAAATACACGTGTATTAGTTGAGGAGTAGAATGAAAAATTTTTTTATCCACGTATTCTCGATTATAAGTTCGGTTGGTTGATGATTTTTATTGGTTGTCCGCTTGACAAATTTTCATTTTAAACTGTAAAAGTTATTTTTTCACCGACAAAAAGTATCCGTTGTAATACGTACACGTAATAAAAATGAAATTTAATGAAAAAACTTTTTATGATATATATTTATGATCTCTCTTGATATTTCGAGTAAAAGCCTTATCGGTTCTCGCACGAATTCGTGACATAATTGAATCCAAGCCGTTAAGATCGGCATTCGGTTAAACGCTCAAGTATGACTAACATATATGAGATTAAATGTTTTAATCTCTTTTGTTTTCGGATCATTGATGGGAACGATGATGCTATCAAAGTATTTTTTTTTTTTTTTTAATTGATACATTTGGGCACTGATTATTAAATTGTAATATTATCTTAATTCAATTAACTTATTGCAAGTAAATTGCAACTTTTACGTGTTTCCGAGACAATATTATTTCAAATTTTAGTTTTTTATTATATTACTTTGAACTGATTTACTTTTATTATAACGTTACTCACGAGAAGTATGTTGATCTTGTGTCGATCAAGTGTTGATCAAGAAAGTGTTTATAAAAACTCGATGACTTGTGATAAAATTTTTTCAGCACAGAATAAAAAATGTACTATTTCACTGCAACCAAAGGAGCAAAAAAGGTCCAACAGTGCCCCGCAGGCAATGAAACATCGAGAGAAAATACTCACCCATCGTCATAATTGTCCTCGTTGTCAGTGGACACGCTGCCACCGTATCCATAGTCAAAGTCGTTGTAAAAATTGTACGGAGAAGCGTTGTGCTGCTTGTCTCCTTGCATATTGCATCCAGGCACCTACCTCGCGTTCAAGGGGTAGGATCGCACGGAATACAATATGTATATGTCACATATATGTGACGGGTACGCGATCGCGATCGTCACTGGCTGGCCTTTGCGAATCGATGCGATTTTTCCCCGTCTCCGATGGCTTTGGTACAATCTTATCGAGCGCTGATCGATAAGCTATAAGTATAGATGATAGCTATTGGGAGATTTAGACCGGCGGTATCTTTGACGATGATGATTTATACGATAAATAAATTTTTTTTGAGACATACAATTCGGAAGCAATGATGATTATGACTTATTAAAAATATCGATCGGTATCATGGTTTTCAATGTGCGCCCCGTCGTCATGCTTTCGCGGGGTTGCCGGCCTGGGTGAATGCGGATTTAATTGGGGAAGAAAGGAAATGAGGAGGTTGAACATTAAAAGTTGGAAAGAAATCGACAGTTAAAAATTAATTAAGAAAATTATAATTTTTTTCTAATCCGTCGAGTGAGCGTCGCAATTGGCGCGACGGGCTGACTACGACATAAAACGATGGGATGGGTGGATCAAAAAAGTGTACAGGATTCCACACCTACTTATTAAACACTATAATTTTTAATTGTTTGTATTTAAATTTTATTTACAGATATTAATAGTATGACAGATAAAATATACTTCGCATTGCTTCGTATGTACACATTTTTTTGTTCCTCTACACAAAAATTCGATTCAATCAAAAAATCTGGGCGGGTCAAGCAATGTGTCCATTTTTCTTCAAGTTTTCCTCGTCAATCATTCCCAGAGCACATAAACAAACCAATGCGGCCCCTTGCTCCGCCCATTTCTTATTTTTTTCCCTGCAACCAAAAAAAATTATAAATCCTGCAATCAACCATTTCATTATCCAAGCATACTAGCGAAATACAAAAAAGCATAGCTTAGCTTTTACACAACAATAACAAAACACGATAAATCGCCGACTCACCAGAACGACGAACCGTACTTTCTGCCGTCCACCGTAACAACAGATCGGAAAAGTTTGTCCTCGTTTATGGTATTGTAGGCTGGCAATTTTTTGCGATTCTTTTGAGTCCACTGGGCTAACTGCGTCTTTGGCAAAGTCGTGTCCTTGGTGTAATTGCTGCGTAAGAAGGCACAGCGCATCATAAACACGTCCTCGGATTCGTCCTCGAGTTTTCGCTTGTTACCCAAGAGAGCCAATCGCTCCGGGATAACTTCGAATCTACCGTCGTAGCCTTTTTCCCTGTACTCCTTAAGTTTTTTACGGCAATAGTCATCCATGTCCCACACTTTGCTGGATAAAATTTGTATATTTCCAACAGCCATCCAACTTACAAAATCAACGAAAAAAAAAAGTCTCACCAAATCTGCTCGAGAGTCTGAGTGTCGAGAAACCGCCTACCAAGTGGCGACTCTTGTAGGTCCCTCAGTATATTCTGCACGCAATACTTGGTATTGCTCGGCGAATTGTCGTAATCAACGGCAAGTTTGAGGTACGATCTTATGACTTCCTCCATCGGCAGCATACCTTTCGATCGGAATATCGAGCAATTCCACTCGGCGGCCCTGGCGATCATCACACTGCTGCAGCCCGTATCGCTCTTGAAACGCGCTATATCCGAGTACTTTTCTATCTCCTTGATGTTTAAGTACTTTTCATAAATATACCGTTGGCAGAAGATTAAAGCAGACATTGAACATTTACTCGTACCTTGGAGCCACCGTTGGCGATGACCGGTATCTCGAGGTGCCGAGCTATCTTCTGGATCATGGAGTTTCTGTTGGGGTGCTGGGGTCTCTCGGTGACTGTCCTCCCGTGAACGGTAATAGCCGCAATGCCGGACGAGGCAAGTTTTTCGCAGAGCGCGAGCGTCTCCTCTTCGCCAGGTAGGACTCGCACCTTGCAAGTGACCGGTATGCTGAGTCCGCCGACCAAACTCGTAAGGATGGCTCTGGCTTTGTTGGGATCGCGGAGCAGTGCGGCACCCATGCCTCCGAGGAGGGAGAATCGCTTGGGGCAGCCCATGTTCACGTCAACTCCAGCCACGTCGTTCTCAACCAGCTGGGCGACTTTGAGAGCACGACCGGCATCGCAGGTGCCCAGTTGCAGGACCACGTGCTCGCGCTCCCGGGCGCACGTGCGAAACACGATCGTGCCGTCCGTCCGGTCGATGTAATCGATCGTGCCCAGAACATCTAGAGGGACAATTCATTTATTGAAAAATTTATGGGCATGACTGTTTACCAACATGAGTTTGTGTTTATGATAGATATACATATAATGATTCAGCAGCATATATGTGATTTAAGAAATACATTATGAATTTCAATCAAACGGCACTTTTGACATTTGCCTCTTAACGCTAATATGATTACGGGTAATTATTGTAACAATCAGTTTCAGTTTAACTATTGTTAAAAATTAATGAAAAACATAATCAATAAAAAAAAGAAGAAATGAACTTGGTTTGCAATAAATCATTCCTGCATACAAACTAAACTTGAGTATTTAAAATATCAAAGCAAATCTGATTGGTACTAATGAAAATTTTTAATCGCAATTACATAAAAATTGGGCAATAATTGCACATACATGTTTAAGTATAATGCCATAAACAGGCCCTAAACTCGATCATTGTTAAACAACTATTGTACTTCTATAGAAAGAAAACCATATATTCATAAACGAAATAAAATAAAAGAGCTGCTATGAACAGCCATGCACATCTTCACCTAAATGATCTGCCAGGTTGTAAGCCCTTAGAAAGACAATAAATAAACACATACCATTTTGACGGCGCACAGAACGCAATAGTTTCCAATCGATAAGTTCCTCTGTATAAACAATATCCGCCCCGTAGTCGAGAGCCAATAGTCGCATCGGTAGCGTCCCTATCCGGACCATCGGTGCCAAGATTACCTTGTTTTCGTAATTTAGCCTGGACCTCTTCACCTCAGCCTCAACCTCCGACGTCTCCCTCATTTTCACGGTCACCTGTACCTTTCCGTTTTTCTTTATTGTAAGTACCAGAATTCAACAATTGTTTCACAAACTATCAACAAAGTGTTACCGATACTTACTGTACACACGTTTTTGTTGACAGTATGACATCAGCTGTTCCATGTACCCACAAGCACGTGTTTTTTTCTGGAGCCAACGACAGTATATACATATTTATATATATACGAAAGCCCGGTCACGACATCTGCATAAAAACGCATAAGCGTTAGTTATGTGTACAGTATAATTATGGTAATCACTACTAAGTACTAAGTAGTAAGTAGTGCATGTGGTCGATTTTATTAAACCATATCAGTAGAATATATAAAAATTTATGTCTCTAGGGCTAAACTGCCTAAAGCTCTCCTTCAGAATTTCAGAAGCAATTTTTGGCCAAAAAAATCATGACCGCTAGATGGTACTGATCCAAATGATTATAACTACTTACAGTAGAGCCATATAATCAATTATAAACCAGCCGCAACCAATATAATAAATAGAAAATAAAAATTTGACATTATTTGTGCTAATTGCGGCAAGTTTGCAATGTATCTTTTATACGAATATTGACTTCCTATATATTAATACTTTCGGGTAATAAATAAGTTGTAAACATGCCGCAAACATAACAAACAATATTATATTTTTATTTGTTATTTATATAATTTGTTGCGGCTGGTTTATAATTGATTAAATAGCTCTACTATAAGTAGTTCAGTAGTAATAATCATTTGGATCAGCGCCATCTAGCGGTCGTGATTTTTTTGGCCAAAAATTGCTTCTGGAATTCTGAAGGAGAGCTTTAGGCATTTTAGCCCAAGAGCCATTTAATTACTTATAAACCAGCCGCAACTTTAGAAATAAATACAAAATAAATAGTTAACGTTGTTTGTGCTATTTGCGGCAAGTTTGTAGTGTATGTTTAACATGAATATCGACCTCCTATATATTTATACTTTTGGGTAATAAGTAAATTGTAAACTTGCCGCAAACAGCACAAACATTGTTTATTATTTATTTTGTATTTATTTCTAAAGTTGCGGCTGGTTTATAAGTAATTAAATGGCTCTTGGGCTAAAATGCCTAAAGCTCTCCTTCAGAATTCCAGAAGCAATTTTTGGCCAAAAAAATCACGACCGCTAGATGGCGCTGATCCAAATGATTATAACTACTTACAGTAGAGCCATATAATCAATTATAAACCATCCGCAACCAATATTATAAATAGAAAATAAAAATTTAATATTGTTTGTACTGTTTGCGGCAAGTTTGTAATGTATCTTTTACACGAATATTGACTTCTTATATATTTATACTTTCGGGTAATAGATAAATTGTAAACTTGCCGCCAACAGTGCAAACAACGTTAACTATTTATTTTATATTTACAAAATTAGTTGCGGCTGGTTTATAATTGATTAAATAGCTCAATCATAAGTAGTTTAGTAGTAATAATCATTTGGATCAGCGCCATCTAGCGGTCGTGATTTTTTTGGCCAAAAATTGCTTCTGAAATTCTGAAGGAGAGCTTCAGGCAGTTTAGCCCTAGAGCCACTTAATTAGTTATGAACCAGCCGCAACTTATTTGATAGATACAAAATAAAAATTTAATAATGTTTGTGATACTTGCGGCAAGCTTACAATTTATCTTTTATTCGAATTTTGATTTCCTATATATTTATACTTTCGGGTAAAAAATAAATTGTAAGCTTGCCGCAAGTAGCACAAACGTTATTAAATTTTTATTTTGTATCTATCAAATAAGTTGCGGCTGGTTCATAACTAATTAAGTGGCTCTAGGGCTAAACTGCCTGAAGCTCTCCTTCAGAATTTCAGAAGCAATTTTTGGCCAAAAAAATCACGACCGCTAGATGGCGCTGATCCAAATGATTATTACTACTAAACTACTTATGATTGAGCTATTTAATCAATTATAAACCAGCCGCAACTAATTTTGTAAATATAAAATAAATAGTTAACGTTGTTTGCACTGTTGGCGGCAAGTTTACAATTTATCTATTACCCGAAAGTATAAATATATAAGAAGTCAATATTCGTGTAAAAGATACATTACAAACTTGCCGCAAACAGTACAAACAATATTAAATTTTTATTTTCTATTTATAATATTGGTTGCGGATGGTTTATAATTGATTATATGGCTCTACTGTAAGTAGTTATAATCATTTGGATCAGCGCCATCTAGCGGTCGTGATTTTTTTGGCCAAAAATTGCTTCTGAAATTCTGAAGGAGAGCTTTAGGCAGTTTAGCCCTAGAGACATTTAATCACTTATAAACCAGCCGCAACTTTTGAAATAGATACAAAATAAATAGTTAACGTTGTTTGTGCTGTTTGCGGCAAGTTTGTAGTGTATGTTTAACATGAATATCGACCTCCTATATATTTATACTTTTGGGTAATAGGTAAATTGTAAACTTGCCGCAAACAGCACAAAAAATGTTGAATTTTTATTTTATATCTGTTCAATGAGTTGCGGCTGGTTTATAACTGACTAGATGGCACTGACTGTACACTATTTCGGTCAATAAGGATTTTAACAGTTGCAATCAGCCCTATATTTATCATTGTATCTACTTATTTACTTATTAATTAGCTATTATATATCCAAAGCCCTGACCCTTGCTCCATCTGCTCTTCAATCTGATCAATGGTTATCTATATGTATTATTCAGTGCGATAAATTTAGAGTTTATTTCACGATGATGTATATGGTTTTAAATAGTAATGAATAGGCGTATATGTCAGAATTAGTAATAATTTAAGCTGAGCAAGCTGTCTCAGTTACATGCACAACGCATGTCATCCAAAACTACACCAAACGTTTTCAAGCCTTTAACATTATTGGAGACACGCAAAAATCCAGGTAAAATCTACTACAGTGCTAATGACATCATCTCCTCCATCAGTTCCTGCTACGCTTCTACTTTAAAGAAGAAAAAAAATTCTTAAAAGAATGAAAACAAGTTTACTGGGTTTCCAAAACATACCAATTGTGTTTATTTGAAGAGTTAAATAGCATTACATAATTGTTTTCGTTAAGTGCTCTGAACTCAAAACTCTTTCAGAGTGCAGCTGATAAATGTTTATCGGATATATCTGTGTTTTTTGATAACCATCAATATAGCTACAACATGTGCATAAATGTGGTGTGTTTGCTGATAAGTATTACGCATTCTTATCACTAAAACACAGTTAACTTGCCTTCATGAAATATCAGTAAAGATTTATCAACATGATTCATTGATAGTGATCATCTTTATGATTTAACAGCTTATCTTGACTCCAAGTATCTAATTATGTAATTAACTAACCATTTAAATACTGTTTATAGTAATGACTTTTTTTTCAATTTCAGCTTCATTGATAAAGCACCTCACTTGACAGATTATTTTTTCTGTGAGGACATACACGGAAATTACACAAGCTGATTTCAGCTGCTTCACTTACATCTACTGATGACTATCTTTTATTAAGAAACTTATTTTGTAAACTCAATTCATAATTGAAGATAAGATCTTCCATAATCAGTGATAATGGCTAATATAGGCACAGTCATTGCACACATGATAAAACTAGCGGTTACTGTCCTCTGTATGTCATTTTTCAAGGATTCGTTTTCTCTGAAGGTGACAAATCAAATGTGGGCCATTCGAGCTTTTCAACTGATGTTTATTCATTCTATTTTGGGAGTCATAAGATATGGTAACATTACATACTCAATTCCAACTGAAAATTAATCATCCTTAAGACAGTAAGTTCAATATCATTTCATAAATTTTCAGGTAATTCCAATACGACAAAACGTTTGCGCAACTTTTACGAATTTCTGACGAGTATTATCGAGATCGTCCCAGTAGCCTTTTTCACCACGGAGGTTCTCTCCAAATATCAAACGTGCGAGGAATTACGCTTCTTCATCCTAGCTTTAGGCCTAGCACCAACTACAATTGAACTGAGCTCTTCAACGAGAATTAGAGATCGCTCGAAACTGGAGCTCTTTACCAACGTCATCGTAGGACTGCAGTCCTTTGCCGTTGCACTGATTTGCCTTTGGTACGAAAATTACACTGGTCTAAGTTTGGCGATTTCGTTTGCTGTTGCAAGGTATGTTTCTGAGGATTTCTGCGACAAATACGAGGTACCTTATGTTGATTTATCGCAATATAGTTTTGGGTTTACTCAACTATTTGCTCTAGCAGCTATTAAGGATGTTTGAGGCAACTATTTAGAATAAGCTACAATTGAGATAGATGACTAGGATGTAAGTATGTCCTCGAAAATATAGGTGAAATTTTTATTGAAGTTAAAGAAAATTTGAGAGAAAAACTCCCTCATTAAAGTCTTTAAAAACGTATCTCTATATGCAAATATATATGCTGCGGATCTAAGTGTATGTGTGTGTGTGAAAACTTAATGACCATAGTGATCTAGCAGAGAGAAGAGTATTTTGGATTGCCAACACAATAAGCATTAAGTGTATTAATTGTAAAGTTTTGGAATGTTTGTTCACTGTGTTGTCGAAAATATAGGAAATAATACAGTTAGTTAAAAATCAATTCTACACTGCCACTTAAAATGTGACTTAGAGATATTATTGTACTTAATAACAGAGTTACAAAAATTGTGATTGCATAACTATTGTTTTTTACTTCAAATCAAGTACTACATTTTACACTAATTACACTTAAAACCTGTTGTTAAAGCTAGTTTACCGTATTGAAAAGGTAATTAGCTATTTACAACCCTGGTATTTGAACTTATTTTAAAACAGATACTTCTTAAGTTTGAATACGACTTGCTGAAATTGTATCTACTCCAATATACTTTTCTCTTTGTATAATTAATGATATGCTTGCAAAGTCTGCTGCTTGAAATTCTTGGCTGCTTTGAAAAAAATATTGCAAATTATATACAATCAAATTTTTTACATAACATACATTAGATTGTTTTTTTTAAATGTGTAATTAACTGCTAGATAAACTTACTACAGACCAAAGAGACTTACTGATAAATCAATAAAAGCATATATTAACAGTACATATATAAAAGGAAAAAAATGTATGGCAAGAATCGTATAAGAAACTATTGAGAACATGTATAAAAGTTAGAAACAAAAGGCACCTAAAAAAGTTCGATAATCTTCCAATTTTTACGGATTTACTGTAAACCGTCTAAAAACATAATAGTACCATCAATTCTAGCCACGAAAGTTCGGATGAAGTTCCAAGAAACAAAAATATTAGCTAAAAAATCCCTATTAATAGTAAGGAAACAGTTTGAGCGGTTTAAATTTAAAAAGTAGGCACCAGTTTTATTTGATGAAGAAGCAAGAAAATGTAATTTTTCTGTTGAAATTGAGAGAATTCTATTTAAAAACGCAATTATTTATATTATATATGATTAATGAACATGTATTTTATTTTCCGATCCAAAATTTAGTTTAAAACATTTTAGCTGTGAAATAATATTTTCCAGAATTTTTTAGAAAACGTATTTTTCGAGTCCACTTCGTAATTCGTGTTGTTTTTCTTAGTCAAAAAATCTGATGTTTCGAAATTTCTATTCATCATTCAGCAAACCGCGTTCAAGTACTTTATCAAAAAATCCAAAGCTGCTCGAGCTAAAAATAAAGGTGTATTGGTAGATAAAACTAAACTTTTTATGAATCAAAGTCCGATAAAGATAATTTTATAACTTCCTAGAATTTACTGTGTTCAAAATTTTCCCCATCAAACAGTATACACTGATAAATGATATAAGTTTATCCTCTTCCCCACTATAGCTATGCAACAAATATACTCTTAATGACCTAGTAATGTTTTTACAATTGCTCTAAACTTATTACGTCCCCTTATCTATTTTCATTATTTTTGGTAACCCGCAACACCTTCAAAATTTATCAATACTCTAATTATATATAAGTTCCACAGAAAGTGTTGCTTAAAGACATAATTGCATAAGATATTCTATAATTTAGTTTTTTTTTTTCCACAAAGTAATGACCTATTTTTGTATAAAATTTTTAATATTCAATAGTTTACAAAAATCTCAAATATTTAGATCTTAGCGATATTATGTTTGTTCACCACGTAGTTAAATTCACTAGTTTTATTAATATTTATTTTAATTAAGTTTATATTTTCAATCGAAATATTGAATTCTGTTAAATAAAAACTACATGTATATCTGGATGTAAGAAAAACCCCTTTTAAAAGATTTATGGTGTATATCTATCACTGCAAAAACGTACAAAACACGAATTTTTTAGAAATCTTACGTTATACTTAATTGAATGTAACAAATATATCTCTTCAGTTAACGTATAAAAGTCATACTTCCCGACTAATATAACTGTGATATTTACTAAAAGTATGTAAACGCATAATAATTTATAAAATCATGCAAAGCTTTTTAAATCAGTTTAATAGTTTAAGAACGAAATATGATTTAATCCAGTTTTTGCTGTACTGTTATTATTTAAAATTTTTCATTGGTTATTTAAAAAAATTAGTTAAGCCAATGTTGTGTATGTACTTACAAATTATAAATTAATTGTACAAATCGGCCTAAGTATTTTAATTTTAGTAACATCATTTGTGCAGATGTAACATGATAAAGTGAAATAAACGTATGGTTTATCAACATCTTTACGCCAATAAAATATAATTTATCGTGTCCACTTACATGATTACATGATTTTTACTATCTGCGCTTTAAAGAATAAATAATAACATTAATAAAGTAAACACATCAGCTCTGAAGTTAGGCGGTATCAGGAGAAGTGTCGAATGATAATTAAATCTATAAAAATTTTACAATATATTTAATTTTATTGGGTAAAAACAATTTTACATTATGTTTTATGGTCTTAAACAAGTAAAAAATTTCAATACAAAAGCAATTCGTTTTACTTTTTACACTCCCGAAAAAGCGCATTCGAACAATTTAAAATTGTATTTTCACACTACATCTACTTCTCAGTGAGTTTCCATAGAAAAAAAAAAAAGAAAATTAAATATTCTCACCTTCTCAACGGCATCATCTTTTATACACTCTTATTGTCTTACAAAAAGAATTTTCACTATAATATTTGTATTCAGTTTATTTTATTGCATCGCACGTTTCCGTATACTAACGTTGCAAATGTGCAACTTTCTCACCAATCGGTACATACATACAAAACAAATGTCATGTTTCAGTTTCAGAACAATATTCAAACTTGGTGAAAATTGCATACCTACTACGATTTTCCTAATTTACAAGATTTAATTAAAAAATATCACTTTGTCTGGTAATCATATTATTATTTGATTCGATTTCAGTACAAAGTCACGACAACAATCATAAAATGTTCTTCTACATATATACATTGTCGTAAAACCATACCTACAGTTTTCAGCCCTGAAATCCAAAATTTCGTTCGGACTCGAGACTCTTGCTCTCTACCAACTAAATTACATCTTAGATAAAAAAAAATGTATTTACAATCGATTCTCATAAATCTTTTAAAATCCCTCGTGCTGCATCCAAAAAAGTACACAAGCACAAACAAATTCGACAATAATCGTAACGGTAATGTGCACCAGTTCGATTGACAAAATAAGCCAACAACAACACGTCATCGAACACCGGCATCGAATGAGTATATAATATAATGTATTAAACGAGTACATCAACAAACCACGAGTAAAATTCTCACTCACTCGCGCGCATCGCTTATCTACACCGGGACAGAACAAAAAAAAAAAAAAAAAAAATTGCCCGTAAATTTACAAGTTGGAGTTGGATCCCCGCCACGAGCCGCCGAGCTGCCCAGCGGCTGAAGTAACAGCCCCAGAAGACGCCATGGGCTGCAGCCTCAGGCTGTTCCTGGGACTATCGTCCGCCTCGAAGCCGGGGTTCGCGTGAGCCCCATGGTTCTCGAAGACGTCCTTGACGCTTATTTGGCTGCTGCGCGTCGGCCGGGGCTGTATGCCCAGCGCGTTGCCGGCAACCCCGTAGACGTTGTTAGCCCCGAGGGTCTGCATCTGGGACTTGCGGCGCTGGGCCGCCATGATGCTGTTGCGCCTCCCCTCGAACGCCTTGAACGCCTTCGTCGAGCGGCGCGTCGACATGTTGCGCGGCAGACCTGTACAACCGACACCCCCCCCCCAAATGAACATCGTTATAAACGTGCGATAAGCTTATACGCGCGTGTGATGTATGGTGTGTGTATAATTAACGCACCCATGCCCTGTCCCTCGGCGAGGCTGAAGAACCGCTGGCGGAAGGCGACGTCCAGGGTGTTGATGGCTTGGGTCTTGCGACGGCTCTTCTCGAGGTTGCGGATGGTCTTGCGGCGCCCGGGTCCGCTGCCGCTGCCCTCGTCGTAGTCACCCTCCATGCCGTCCAGCCTCTGGAGGTCCCTCACTATGTCGACCGCGTGCTTGGACAGCAGGGCGTCCTCCGAAAGGTCCTTGGACTGAGGAAATTGGGTTTTTTTTTTTTTTTTACTTTTCACCGTGAAATATATATACACCCGGTATGGAGGGACATCGAAGGGGTGGAAATGTACCTTTTTACAACAGTACCAGTCGAGCGCGGTACTGGCCAGTATGTGGGCCAGTGTTCCGAAGCGATGGAGCAGCATACCGGTGAATTGTATGAGCAAGATGAGCGAGAAGAAGAACACGAAGACGAGACCGATCGGCTCGAGCTGCAGGTATTCTTTTGTTATTTGCACCTGCAACGAGACGCGCTTTACTGTGACACATCGTCTATTTTTTTTTTTTTTTTTTTTTTTTTTACCCTTCCCGGGTGTTGAGATCTACCTAATGCGCTAAATTATACGACGTTCGATCGGAATTTCGATGTTTCGCTCGTACGAGATTTATTTATTTACGTTGCTTCGGTTTGAATGGTTTCGAATTGTCGAAATTGCGATCGGATCGTACGGTTTATTTTTTAAGTATACAGTTATAATTTGCGAGCTTTTTTTAACGTTTTAACCATGTTTTTTTGCAGTAACCAAGTACGAGGTGCAAACATGTAAAACTTGTTCATCACGTGTATGACGTTTTAAAAAAGCTCGCACATTCCAAGTGTATGGATCATAATATCTAGTGCTGTGTTAAACATGTACACATATGTATGTATATTATATATAGTATTTACAAACGAAGACACACCTGTAAATTAGAACCCACCACATGGGTGTAAGTTAGTGATAGAGATAAAATTTATAATTTTTGTACATGTATACACATAACAGTAGTAGTAGTAGTAGTAGTAGTATCGATTGTCAGACTAATCGAGACGTATGTATAGACACAGATACACAGAAGTGAGATTTTCTCTGTTATTCTAGTGCTTTTTCCGTGAGTAGAGGAGAAAAATAAAGATTATTAATCATCATTATGTCTTAAAAAATATATGTATTGGGGTCTAAACGACAGTTAGACACAGACACACAAGACAGTGGGGAGGGGGCATCCACTTCATCCAGAAAAACCCCTATTAGTGTGTGTGTGTGGTTGGGAGTATTTTGTATGTGCTGCTAAAGAAATGCTTATTATTATTATAGACTAGATTAATTATAACTAATTATTATTATTATTATTATTCTAAATATAACATATAATATATGTATAGAATAGAAAGTATAAAGTATAGTGATAGGTTGTGCATGAACATTATGAAGAAGTTTGAGAAAAAGTGCCGGTCTCTGGTACAATGCGGCACCCGCAACCACAGAGGTACGTAACCTATCGGTTGAATAATCATTTTTGTCTTCCAAACGGAAGCAACTTTGTAAAATGTACGTATACCATTGATTAAGATTATATTCAACCCTGTTGGTAACCTCCTATTGTTATGAACAATCGTTAGAACACCAGACGTGACTCGAAAGAACAAGAGAGTGCAACAGAATTCTGTATGTATAGCAAAGTGCCTCGTCGATCTTTATAACATAAAGAGGAGAAGGAATTTAAAAAAAAACAGAAACGAGGCACCCACTATAAGTTAGTCACTCGTCATCATCACCCGATGTTATTATGTATACGTATATTTGTATTCGTGTGTGCTAAATAGCATATATATATGGTTGTTTGGCATGATTTTCACGTTCGCTGCGATGTCTACATGTATATGTATGTATGCGAAGGGCCGAGTGAAAGCCGGCCGGTCTGTGGTATAAGGTACCTCCGATGTCTCCTCAATGTACGTGATGTTGGTTTTGACGCCAAGCGGCCAGACGACGTGTAGTTGGTCTTTGTTCAGCTGCATTAAGAATACGACGAGAACGAACAAGGCATTGAACATTAAAAAGGCGAAGACGCTCTTATTGCGCAGCTCGATCAGGTCCCCGGCGATCCTTGCCTGGGTGTGTGCGCGTCAGCAAGTTCGAAGAAAGTCGAGGGAGAGAAAAAGGATGCGAGGATAGAGAGAGAAAGAGAGAGAGAGAGAGAGAGCAAGAGAGAAAAACAAAAACACACATTTTTTCCATTAGTTATGCTATAGTAAGCCCCGCCCGCGACCCCGTGCTCAGCCGATTTTTTCTTGCCGATCTTTTTTCGCGTTATACGCGTGCTTGCGAGTGAACGGTTCGGTTACCGTACATGTATATGAATTTTATTATTTTAATGAAAGATTTTTGATCCGATAGATCGGCAATTTGTCGCCGAGAGGAGCATAGGGTCGCGATGCGGAGCGCTTGTTTACCTCTTGGGACGCCTCGTCATAGGTGATGTTCGTCTTGATACCGAAGGGCCACCTCACGTGCAACTGGTCTTTGTTTAATTGGAGGAGAAACACAATCAGGACGAAGAGGGCGTTCAGCATAAAGAAACCAAAGACGCTCTGGTCGCGCAGGTCCTTCAAATCTTTGGCTATTCGCGCCTTTGGGTGCGAGTGTGCGGTTTTTTCGTTTTCGTTTTTTTCGTTTTTTTTTTTTTTTTTTTTTTTTTTTTTTTTTTTTTTTTTTTTTTTTTTTTTTTTNCGTTTGACGCGTCCGAGGGTCCTCACGATGCCGATGGGGCTCTGGGCGGACACGTAGTTCTCCCACCAGCGGCACTTTAAACAGCAATGACATAACATAATAAAGAAAGAAAAAATTAACTCGATGCAATGGTTTTCTTCGAAATGTGAAATCAAGTTGGAAAAAAAAAGAAATTAAATGAAAAATGGGCTCAAGCAAAACGAGCAGGGATTCGTGGCACGTGAATTCTTCCACTTGACGACTTTCAAAGGAAAATGACGAATAAGGGCGGGGAGGAGCGAGGCTTGCATATATTAAATAAATAATAAAAACCAGGACAAACCGTGTGCGGGCTCGATTTTCCAATCTTGGATTTTTAAAGCCAACGTAGAAATAAAAAGTAAAATGAAAAGTATGGCTCGAAACAACAAACAAAAGTATGGAATCCTCGCACACGGCCGCCCCGGGGGGGAAACGCAAGAGTCTACCTTCTCGGCCTTGTCCTCGTCAATCGGATAAAGATACTTGTCCAGCAGATCCTTCCAGAACTGCTCCTCTTGCATCGACAGCACGCCGACCTCGCCCTTCTTGAGGCCCTCGTCGTCGAGCCAGTAGGGCCTCGAGGGGAAGCCAGCGTTCCTCTCGGCGTCCGAGTTCTGGCTGGCGGTGCTCTCGGTCTCGCTGTCGCGGCCGTCCTCCTCCGCCGGGTCCTCCCCGATGGCGCCCAGGTGATCGGCTGAGCGCGAGCCCACGGACGAGGCGCGCCTCCTACCGCCCGACATGTGCCCGTGCGGGTCTACCGCTCTGTTGGTTGTTGAACTCGTTAAAACAAAACTCATGAGATGAAGATGGTGATGATAAAACAACAGCGCACTTCTCGATGGTTTCGAGCCGCTTGCCGAGTATCTCGAGCGACTCGGCTATCGCGACGAGCTGCTGCTTCTCGTCGGACGGCTTGCCGTGGGTGCACAGCATACACCTGAACAGCCCGGCCAGGGAGATCTCGATGCTGCCTTGGTCGTCGTCGTTGTTGCCCACGTCGTTCTGTAAAAACCCGAGCAGCGACTTTTGCTTGGCCTTCCGCTTCGCCTCCTCGGCCTCCTTCTTCTCTTGCTCCAATTCCTTTGAGGGCAGAAACAAAAGGTTTTTTTTTTTGTCAACAGGGTGCTTGCGAACAAAGGTATGTATATGAAATCTCCTACCTTTTTGGTCTTTTTGACTTGAACCTCGCGGGTGCCCCAGGATACGACGTTCAGGTTGATGATCGAGTAGAGGATGAGGAGGAGGTACATGGACGGGATGGAGAGGAGGTAGATGATGGCCGGCACGATGCACATGAATTCCTGCGGGTGCAGGCAGGCGGCTATGACGAAGGAGCTCGACATACATATGAGGAATATCGCGGATGGTGAGCCTACGCCGTCCTCGCCCAATTGGAGCGCCGTGCCCACTATCACGGCCATCATTATCATCGCGTAGGCCGTGGACAGGATTTGCGCGCACAGTAACTAATGTATACACACACATATACATGTACAACTTGGTTGGAGCACTGATTCGATGGTTTTTCGTTTTACAAACCTGTATTTCCGATTTGCACGTGAAACAGATGAACATGAACAACAGTATGGGGATTATGTTGTAGTAGAAGCTCGTCCAGTTGTCGATCCTAAAGACGGCCACGAAGGCTCCCACCAACATGAGAAATATCGTACCGGGACCCAGTATCGTACCACCTGTGTGCACCAAGAAGAAAACAACCGTACATTCCAATGGACCACATCAGCGTTTTTCACAAAAGCAGCACGAGGCAAACGTACCCATGAGCAATATTTGGTACCAGATGTAGGGCAGCGATATGTTGTCGTTGATCTTGATCGTCCGCTTGGCGTCCATGAGAAGATCCATGATGTTGGCGATGGTCGAGGGTACCCATCGTCGGCGCTGATTGTAAAACTCGTTGAATCCCTCCGGGGCGTGGGTGTAGGCGTCGCTGGCAGCCGAGTACTCGACCTGCGTGTTTCCGACCACATTAATGCAAACCATCCCAATGTAAAGAGGAAGAAGAAAGGAGAATTCCAAAACGACACCTACCCGATATCCCCTCTGCAGGAGCAGGGTGCAGAGCCATCGGTCCTCGCCCTGGTCGTACTGCACGTAGTGGCGAGCCTCCTCCGACCTCGTGGTGTACTTCTTCATGACGTTGTCGTCCATGAGAGCCTTGCCCCTGAAGAGCGAGAAGCACCCAGGACTACAGAGTACACAGCCGATCATGTGCTCGGTGGCCTTCTGCAGCCAATGGCCGATCGCGTACTCGAACATCTGGTACCAGACCATGGGACCCGAGCCAACCGGGTGGATACGTCCGCAAGCGGCCCCCAAGTTCTTGTTCTTCTTCATAAGATCGACGAGCAGCATCACCGCCGACGGCTGGAAGTCTATGTCCCCGTCGAGGGTCAGCAGAAAGGTGTTTTCGGCTATGACCTCCTTCCGATCGACGCTTATCTGCTGCTCCATCAGCCGGTGCCCCAGGAGGTAGTACATGTACATCACCTGTTGGCGTTTGTCAAAAGGCAATTAAAACCAGCCGTCCAACCGATCGTGTTGTATCATTATTGTACGAGGTGTTCACCTGACTCCAGCGCTTTCTGTGCCGGATCTTGCTCTTGTCCTTCAGATGGGCGATCATCTTCGTCTTGCCGGGCAGTGTCCAAATGAGCCGTCCCCCGTACGGGGTCTGGTACTTTTTGGCGGCCCGCACGTGCATTCGCGTCTGATGGACGTCCGAGGCGGCCTCGTCCAGCGTGCCGACCAGCAGCTTCACAAAACGATTCACCTGGGACTCGTTCTCGTCGTGGTCGCACAGCTCGTACGCGTCGTCGAAGAATATATGTGCTACAAAACACATATGTATCCATTTTTTAGAGCGAAACTTCGATGATAACGATAATGCGAAAATCAACTTACTCTCAAACTCGTAGTAGTCGGGGTCGACGACCTTGAGGTATTTCTGGGCGACGCGCCTCGCGCACTGGTCCTCGTCGAGTCTCAGGATACTCTTGAGGAACTCCATCATCTCCTCTTTGTTCTCGTGCCACATGGTAGCGCAGGCGTAGATGCGCGTCACGTGGTCGCTGCTCTTGACCGCCGAGGGTGGCGTGCTCGTCCCGTCCGTCTGCTCGTAAATGGTCTCGTAGTCACCGTCGCCCTTCTCCTTCTCGATCTCCGCCAAGTCCTGCCATAATCAAAACGAGTTTTTACACAATGCCATTCAAACCACCCACCCGTTGCTCATACACCTTACCTCGACCTTGACCTCTGGCTGGTCGTCTCTTTTCCTGTTGAGGCTCATCGATTGGTCGACCAGCAGTCCGTCGTACATCGGGATGACAAAGAGCTTCTCCGTGGCGGCGAGTCTCTCGCACTTGGGCGTCCATATGTGGAGGGTGAACCAGGTCTGGGACAAAAGCCAGAGGAGCCAGAGCCAGCCGTATTGCTTGGACATGAAGTCGTTGAGGAAGTAGAGGGTCGGCGACTCGAAGAACAGGTAGTCGGGCATCTTGCCGTGGAAGAAGCAGGGGTCGCCGTTCCTGAGCCCGCAGGCGGCTATCAGCAGGGATATCGACACGGGGGTCGTCAGGTTGACCGGGAACGCGTAGCTGAAGCCCTGTATCATGATCTTGCAGGCAAACTTGCCGAATATGTACATGAGGTAGGAACAGACTATGAGGATGAGTAGGGCCTGGCCGGGCGTGTGGAGTTCCGCGTTGACGATCTCGTTGTCCCCGTTAGGTAGGATCTCGAGGAAGTCGGGTAGGACGCCACCCGGCGTCTGCCGGACCGCTTGGACGGTGATTTTGTGCTCGCCGAAGGCCGAGCCGAACATCGAGAAGAGATGGCCAAAGTTTTGGCCCTTGAAGTGCAGGATGATGCAGGTGCTGATTAAGAAGGCCACCATCTTCCAGGCCGAGATGAACATGTAGGTGAAGTAGCGCGTCTGTATGAGGTCGCGTTTGACGCGTCCGAGGGTCCTCACGATGCCGATGGGGCTCTGGGCGGACACGTAGTTCTCCCACCAGCGGCACGAGACGAGGATCAGGGCGGGCGGTATGAGCCACAGGGAGGGTGACTTGCCGCCGTCGAGTAGCGGCCAGACGACGAAAGCGGTAGCTTGGGCGGCGAGGGCGGCCAGGTCGACCAGGACCAGGACGAAGCGCCTCGACTCGTCTTTGCTCTTGTTGCGCGAGAGGAGTCCGAGCAGGCCGGGCACGAAGCACACGCAGTTGGTCAGCATGGCGCCCTTGACGACGTCGACTTCCGGGAGAACCGCGAAGAAGAGCATCGCCAGCCCGACCACGTGGAAGGTCTCCATGAAGAAGACGAGGAGGAAGTGCGAGGAGAGGGGCTTCTTCCACGACTTGAAGATGCACATGCGCACGCTACGGAAGAGCATGCCGATTTCCGGGACGAGGTAAGCGCCGATTATGCACCAGATCCAAGCGATGCGCTCCTCCTCGGGTAGGCTCACCACGAACTGACGATCCCGGCCTGGTTCAATTTTTTTTTTTTTCAATAATGATATTTTCGGACAAAAGACGAAGAATCGGTAGTAAGGCTACTTTCAATCTGATCGAACAAAATATATAGTATTTACTACTTGAAATAGACAAAGTAAATAAACAACATTGCTGATAATGTATGTAATTTTACACCGATCACCGTACTTTTCCATTGCGGCGTGACTGCCGATTCCATGTCAATCGTTAACGATCGCTTCCTCTTCGTTACGACTCATGGAAGCCTCTACTTATACATTTTATCGATACGTTAAACGGTGCGCGATTCGGTGATTGATAATTTCATTATTGGCGCAAACAAAGAGCCACGTATAAAGGTGGAAAAAAAAGAATCAAGAGTTCCGCCTTCCCCCCCGAACCAGCGCGCGAGAGTATATTTAATATACATGCACATGTATAAAAGTGGAAAGTGACAGTGAGTTATAGATGTCTACGAATTAAAAAAAAGTCGCCAGATATACACACGTATAAGAGAGAGGGGGTGGGGTAATGTGGGGGCTTACCCAACTGCCTGTTGCAGTAGACGATCGTGCGATCGGCCTTGAGTTGCGAGGTCATGAGTAAGAGCGTCCCTTTGGCGATGACACCGCTCCCGAGCACGATACCGAAGACTAGAAGGTAGACGAAGGCTTTCGTTATCTGGACGGTGATGTCGAGGCAGCGCTGGTTCGCCATGGAGCCGGAATCGATCTTCGGGGGTGGATCCCGGAACACGTCCCAGCCCTTTGTCTCCACGACTGTGCCCCGGCTGGAGAGCAAACGAAGGATATTTTAGCTCTTTTTTTTTATATTTATTGATTATTTCTTTGCAAATGGCATGATGTTGTTTTATTTGTTGCCTCGTACCTGCCGCCATAGTCATGCGTGAGCGGCGTGCTCTCGTCGTCCGAAAAATCGTCCGGACCGCCCCCGGGCACGGAGCCGTTTTGCTGCTGTAGGTGGCCTTTCGACATGTTTGCTAATCAACAGCTGGAACGAATAAAAGAGAAAAGGATACTATTATCATTATTGATGGATTTTTGGCTATGCTCATTCGCTTTTGGTTAAGTGGCTTTGCGCTGCCAATGGAAGGAGTCAATGTGGGGTATACAGTGGCGCGTGAAAAAAAAAAAATTTAATTCACATCTCGTATCCTTATTAAATTCATTTTTGTGCTGTATTTGGGTGTATATACGGATGGCGAAAGTATAAGATCGATTTTTGTTGTGTACGGGGGGGGGAGAAAAAAAAAGTTTCGTGGCTTATTTTAACAAATACTCATGTACTTCTCGTAGAAAACCACAGCTAGAGAGCATGATGAATGGTCTTTCAATGTTACCCGCGTTTTTTGGCGTTAGGATGGATTTTCGCGCGCTTGAAAATTTCGGAAATTTCATCTTGTAACAATTTTTACGTAACTAACGAAACGAGGAAGCTTTTTGACGGGCGTTTTAATTATACATGCTCCCGTGATTCGGTATGGATAATCGAGGGTTATTAGTTCGACTGTAATGGCCCTTGCGCCATTAGTTGCGTAAATTCAATCGATACGATTTTTTGAAACTATATAACGTCGACGCTGAACTTTCGGCGTACCTATGAACGATTTCCTTCCCCAAAACTTAGACGCTAAACTGATTGATCAATCAATCGTTGCGGTATACGATAAAGCAAAAAATAAAAAAATAAAAAAAGAAGGAGAGCCTTTACCTACAAACCTCGTTCACGTAATAAAGATACGCAAGAGTATAAAAAGAAAAAAGGAGAAAAAACACGGAAAAGCGCATAAGCATAATAATATATAGTAACTTGAGTATACTTGCGTGCGCGTAAGTAGCACCATCAGAGAAAGGTTTTGGCCGTTTCTCTCTACAACATGACGTTTATTCTTTGCTCTTTTTGTATGCACATAATATATATACACAACTATACGAGCTTGTGCAATGGATGTGGGTTGCACGTATATATGCACACACGTGGATTTTAACGCCTGGCAAGAGTGGCAAGTAAGTAGGTACATATACGTGTAGTTTAAATGTATGGTGTTGGTTGCGTGTTTATGAATGTATTACGTTTAGTATTTGCATCTCTTGAAGATGCTACACTATTAATTACTAAGTACATATTATATGATATACGTGCACATGATCGGTGAAAACGTATTTATCGGCACGAAGATAATATATGAATGACCCATTTCCGAGGTTTCCCGTTCGCGTTGAGGAATATACATGTAAGTACAGCTGCAGTTGGGAAATTGAATTAAAAGTGTAACAACACACGCTCACTTGAAGGGGGGGTATTGCGCGCTTCTCAAGACGCCGATGAGATTTAACGAAGCGAATAATGTGAAAAGCAACTCACCCGCATGGGAAACCCAACTGAATACGTATACGTGTAACGTCTACGTTAAAGTAAGGTGATTTTCTGTCTCATTGGTGAGAAAGTTAAGAAAAAAAAAAAAAAAAAAGATTAACCAAGCCTAGCCTTCGAAAGAGAGGCAATAATCACCCGGGAATTTTCCGCCCAACCACTATGCATGGAAATTAAAGTTCAACCCGGATAAGTGTACGTCGTATGCATATGGCTTTTAAGTGTGTGTGTACATATATATATGTATATATATGTACCCATTTGTACGTGTACAGGTTTGTCGGCTTATTTTGTAAATTAAACTCGGGCCGTACACGTGTGTGGATAATTGCCGAGAAACGGTCGAAAAAAAAGACTGTATGCAGCATTACGTGCAGTTTAAGCGGGCCATTGTACAATTCGTACATGATAATAATGTAGGAAACAACTTAAATCCGGAGCGTAACTTTGTTGTGTTTAAATTAAATGTTGTTGGGTAATTCGCGGACTGAGCTATACATATATACATACATATATATATATTACGCGGACAAAGGTTTAAAATTATATATACAAAAGTATCGTAAATTTTCAAATTTCCTTTCGGCTCGCTGTTACACGGGCTCGATTGGTTTTGCAACTGCGTTCCCTCTTTTTTGTTGGCTGATATAATTTTACGGCGGACTCGAAATACCTCCGTGAGACCGTGCGTGCATATATATATATGTATACGTGCAAAAAAAAAAAACTTGCGTCAGCGAGTCACCATAAGGAGGATTTTTAAGATTTCCTTATTTCTCGTCATTACCCCGCAGCGCCAACGCGAAAAAAGGAGCTTTCGGATTAAAGGTTTACCTCTCGATCGCGGGTCCAAGAGGAGTAAAAAGAGGAGGAAGAAGAGAGAGAGAGAGAGAGAGGAAAATAAAAAGGGAGAGCGAACGGCAACGCCATTGAAACGGCCTTGGCCATTAGCACCGGCGTCACACTCGCGGCTCCCCCCCGCCCTTTCTCTCAGCAGCACGCCTCCCCGTATCAATTACCCCGTCCTGACAGCTCGACATCCTTCTCCTTCCTACTTTTTTTTTTTTTTTTTTATCTCTTGAAAAGCTCCGGGATTATTTTATCACGCCTGCGTATAATGCTTACTAAAAATATATACGCACACGGCGACCTTACCCGTATGCCTATATATATACACACACCCCCGAGAAAAAATATCATTTCGTTCTCAAGAGCACTGGGGAGGAAAAAAAAAAAATACAAATGAACGAATATAATGTATTTATGTATAGGCGCCGAGTAAGGCACGCTAACGATGCGAGATATGCGGTACCTAGGGTCTACGAGGTCTCGGAGGGGGAGGCTCGATAAAAAGTGAAAGACTCCGCGAGGCCGAGAGTAACGGCGCCGTTTCAACTTTATGTATATGTATATATATAAGTACACCACGTAAATTGATTGGGAATTTTGGGACTTTGGAGCGCATGACGATTTAAAATCGGATGATCCGAGGGAGAAGATCGAGCTTTTTTATGACGTATAATATACCAGCTCTTGGGCTTATTGGCTCATCGGCTGGTAAATAATGAAGGGTCGAGGTTTCCTTCATTCGTTATGTTTTTCGCGGGTTTTCCCGATAATTTTCCGCTGGAATGGCCATGATTTCACGCGCCCCGATGCAATTTCCCAACCGAGCGGCCCATATATTATATTCTTGCAACGAGTCGGCAGCAGCCGGACACGGCTCCCTTGTATACAATGTATAGGCGCGCCAAAAAAGAAACGCAACTCTCTCCGGAGAGAGAGAAAAGCCGTGTGCACAAAGTAAAGTCCGGCAAAGTCGGCCTTTTGTTCGCGGGCGGAGCCACACGCCATGCACTCGTGGAACGGGCGCGTATACCCGCAACACGCGAGATAGATAGCACGATATATATCCGGGGTTCCTGGACTCTCTTACACATGTATGGACACACAATGTACATGTATACGTATATACATTGTACAAAAGCGTGTAATTCAGGCGAGCGGCGGTGGAAAGTGAAAGGAAGCCCATACGTATGGGAGCTCGCGTGTGCTGTCGCCTATACTTATGTATGAAATTCAAGCAGCCCCCAGGAGAGAGAGAGAGAGAGGTAAGGTAGCAGCAAGGACGTCCAGTGTTATATATACCTACCTGGCCGCCCACTAGCCGGCCACCGCCTTTATTTGCGCCCTCCGATCATTTTTCGTTTTTTGTTTCATCGATGGAAAAAAAACGTTTTTTCCTTTTCGAACCCTCCCGAGGAGGATACGGAAGCACGTACCTATCATTCCTTCATTCGCGTTATCATGAGAGAGAGAGAGAGAGAAAAAAAGTGCCTATATTTACGGGGGGGACATTTAATGGCACCTATATATACACGAGAAAATTTGTGTTTGGATACAGAATGCATGTCGGAGCACCCTGAGCTAAAGCTGAATTTTAATTGCACGTGCGATCTGCCTCGAATTTAAGGCCCAATTACCACCTCTGGTCCCCGATCGGTTTACTTACAGCTGCGTATATATATATACTTTACCGAGAGTTTCTCCCCATTTTATTGCGTTCGCGGGCGCGTATCGGAGAGTACAACGACCGCACGCTCGTCCTCCGCTGCTCTTTACCTCCCCCGGGTTTCTCTAAGTTATGCCGAGCTCGTTGCGTCTTTCGACTTTTTTTTTTCCTTCTTCATTTTTTACGGAAGAAAAAAAGACGAGGGTCGCAAGGATGACTGTCCTGTATTCCAGGGGCCTGCCAAATTAGACTGCACATATTACGCGCTCCAACTCAGAACTCCAACAGAAATTGAGAGAAATCGTATAAAAGATTCAGTGAATTCCAAGTGCAAAAGTTTACTTGCAAACTTAATCACTAACTTGCGCATCGACAAAGATTAGTACCTATACCTGAGCATCCAAAGCGATGAAAAAGCGCGTACAAGCACGGTATACAATGTATATATATTATACTCTTACGCTCACGCGCTGCTGTTTCCCAAAGTCACCTATAGTGAATCGCTATCTTAGCTCGCGATAAATGGGCATACTCTAAAAATCGACCAAATCGCGAGTAAGTATTCCCTTCCAGCACTCCATCCCCCTAATCTTTTCTAAACTTCACATTGATGTATAGAACCGGCGCGTATAAGCTTAAATTTCTCAATTTCTTCGTACCAGCCTATATGTAAGATCTAAGATTCCGCTCTCGAGATGCGCCTAGCTCTTCCCTGCAGCCTATATACGCATAGGAATGACAGATAGTCGTACATCTAAAACTCGCACCCAGAGCGCGTGCGTAAATCATATCCCCACGCAGTCCTCGCACGATATGCCATCTCGGCGTTGAGTTTCGTTTTATTGAAATAAGTACCCCGCGAGGATTATTTATTATCGCCGAGCCGCGCGATAAATCCGCGGTTTTTTCACGCGTCCCTCTCCCCCCCGTGGGCGATCCGATAGAGTCATTAGCCCGTACAAAACCAACCATTCGTCATATACCCCCGTCGCCTTTATTGGCATCAGCTATACGGTCGCCCCTTGCGCGCAAAAAGGCGAATAAATACGCGCGCGAGTGAAGATCCGGAGATATAGGGAGAGAGAGAGA